AAACGAGGTTGCTGAAGGAAGTTATTCCATGCGTTGTCATTCTGAAAGGATCACGCATCTCATTAACATGCAACGTTAAAGTGGAGAATACAATTAATCGATAACCTGTAGTGGTCATTATGCACTGATAGATTACTTAAAATTTTTAAACCGACCGTCATTTACTTTCGGTAGTAGTAATGAATACCTCCTTGGATTGTTAAGTTTCGAATTGATCATCGATTCGGACCATCAGCTTTGATGAAGACGAAGATAAGACGTCGAAACATCGGTCGAATAAAGCTTATATCGCAACCTCGTGTAAGCCGAAGATTTCAAGAAGGTGTATATTACCTACAGTTAATGAAGGAGATCTATCCGATGATCTAAACTAGTTACCTCGTATGATTCGATGGTAAAGTTTATCGTTTCTCAGCTTCCAATGCTACGTTTTCCACATTATGTGACCTTTTCGAGGACTGTAGGAACTGGCAGGCGTTTGATGTACTTGAAGAAGATCGTTTCTTCCGAGGGAACGTGAAGAAGAGAACGAGCTTGATAAAGAAGCCGTCTTGTGTAACATTCCACTTTACCCTATTTTTACTCGATCTGATTATCGTAAAGAATAACTGCTCTAGGCACTGGATGCCTACTAATTATAGCAGTTCTGAAAAAGAATGAGGTGACGAGACTTGATAAAGAAGCCGTCTTGTGTAGCATTCCACTTTACCCTATGTTTACTCGATCTGATTATCGTAAAGAATAACTGCTGTAGGCACTGGATGCCTACTAATTATAGCAGCTCTGAAAAAGAATCAGGTGACGAGACGTTACCCATACTAAGAAGTTCCCTGTAGGTCTGCCAACACAACAAAATATTGATTATATGTAACTTTTACCTAGCGCCCATTACTTCTTCACAGCAAGGGATTATGGTAAATGCAGCCATTATGATGCTGAGATATTTTTGCAAAACCTGGTCTCCAAGCCAGATTCGAACCAGCGATGACGCCTTCCAGGGGGGCTTACGTGTTATCCACTGCTCCACTGAGGCCCTCGTTCTGTCTTACTCTGGGCCAATCTTTTTGCCCTACCAGTGCTATCAGGAATAACCCGTCGACCTAAATGACGGAAAAGTATTGACTGTTCATGCAAAATTAAGTGATTATCAGGTTTCTAAAGTAAGCAAAAGTAGATATTTGTTTCAGGATTCGTCTACTGATTGGTGTATCAGGCGCATCACTCTTTGGAGTGCTGAAAACAAAGAAACTACAATGTCAGACGGTGCTGGACAATCCTTGGCTACTCACTCCCCATGTAGTAAGTTAAATGCTTTAAATGGGGAAATCTAAAGTTTGCGAAAGTGGAAAAGCTGACTGGTTAGTGTTGTTGAATTAGGACTGTGCTCATATAGCATTACTAGCCATTTGTAAATGGTAGTAAAGATTTTAGTGGCACTGAATTTGGCACTGGGATTGTTGCAGTTTTCTGATCTTTTCAGCAACTTTTCTTGTGCTTTGCTAATTTGTTTGTTCTAGAAAAGTTCTGTAGAAACCTCTTATCATGCTGGTGATTATTGTTTGTTTGTTTTGTTCCCTCTGTGTTCGGTTTTTTTCGAGGTGTTAATTTGCTTACTAGTCGCTTAGTAGCCGTGTGAACAATGCTCGACCTCTTCACGGCATTACAGTGAATGTTGAATCGTTTTATCTTATTGTTTATTGTTTTCCACCCAACGGTGTACCCCCTTATCGTGGCTGGGAGGTGTAGGATTCATACTCATAGCAGAGGCTCTCAAATTGAGAAAGAATCCGGCGTTTCCATCAGGAAACCCAGCTAATTGTAAACCAATACCAGGGTCCACGACCCTGCTGAAGTGAAACTAGTATCGTTGGAAGTCTCCCTCTGACCAACAAATGCGGTAACTGCCTGTAGTAGTGAGGACCTATTCTGAAAGATAGTCTTATCATTGAAAAGAACGGTTTGGACTCCAACAAAATTATGCTTTACTGCTAATTTGTTATCTATGGAAGGTTTTCTTTCTTTTTTTCTTTTAAGCGCTGGAGGTTTCTTATTAGTATGTTATCACTTTCTAACAGTTTACTCTGGGATCTTACTACATAACTATTTTTATTTCTAGTTTTTCGTTAAAGCTTTTTACTTTCGTTACAGTGCGCGGAACCAGATTTATGCCTGAGCTTCGAGCTCAATAGTGTGGAGTGGCCTAGTAGTACCTATTGTTTATCGTTCAATTACTAAGTACTGGTTCATTATTTAGAATCCTGTGCTTGAGGAGTCTTCTTCCTTCGTCAATCTCGTCTATTTTCCATTGTATTTGGTTTCTAGGAGTTGGGTTTTATTTAGAAAGCTTATAAGGTAAGACTTTTTTCTTTCATAATGGTTACAATCTTTGTAGCAGTTTTAATATTTCCTTATGTATTTTATGCATTTTACAGATCATTTCAGATGTATAACATTAGCCATTCGTTTTTTACCTCTTGTTATTGCTTATCCACTAGCGTGTCGTGTGCATTACCTGAAAGAGATCTGGTGGTCTTCTGTTCTATTCGTTATTCAGGTTTGATCCTTCACTATTCATTTACTTTAAGTATTTCGTAAATGTGATCACTGACCAAAACTTGTTAGCAGGAACGACTGATTCGTTTAGTACATCAAATGTGAGTGAAGGAAGAAGTGGGATTTGAGCGTTATACAGTTGTGGATGGTTTCTGTAATCAGGGAACCACCTACTTTGATTTCTTCATCTTCGCACCGTGGTTTCTTCATGAATTGGCTCTTTTTTTATTTGTGCGTAGTACAGTCTTTTTCTCGCCTAGTTGATTTCATTGAGCGTCGTTTCTGCTTCACTGGCACTTCTTGAGTTGATGTCGTCGGCGAAATGAAGGTTTTATAGGAATTCTCAATCAATACCTGTGCCTTCTCATCCCAATCGAACCCACTGCAGTGCAGCAGTAAACAGCCTTGGTGGTATTGTATCGCATTTTTGAACTCCGTTTCCTTATAGGTGTGGTGAGGGGTCGATGAAAAAGCTGTATATTTGTGCTGCAGTTTCGGCATCACTAGGCTGGTGTTCGTATATAGGACCAGTTCACTCTTTGTTGGGAGCTCTGATAGGATTGTTTTCATTTCGACACTGTCAAACGGTTTTTCAACGCCAACAAAAGTTAGGACAAAGGCAGCTGGTATGCCCTACAGACTTCTGTAACATGTGACACGTTTTGGATATGGTCTATGCAATGGGATCCTTATGGGAATCCTGCTTGCTCACCTGTTTGTGCTGCATCTATGGTCTTTATGAACGCAGTAGAGAAATCGTCGTTGATAGTTTGTAGAGTACACTCAACAAGCATATTGGATAGTAATCACGAAGATCTCTTCGGTCACTTTTCTTGGATAGGGTAGCCATGCATGACGCTCTCCACCGGTCTGGGATTTTTCCTTTTGAAGGTAGGATGTCATATGGATTGTGAAAAATACATTTGATTTGTACCCTCCAGCTTAAAGGAAATCAGCGATGGTATTACCGAATCCTGGAGCTGTATTTTTTTCATACTCTCAATCCGCAGCTCAAGCTTCACAGACTAGAATCCCGGGTAATTTTCTAGCGGAGATTTCAGGCTTCAAGACGGGAGTCGTGGAGCGGAAAACATTGGTGCAGAAATTTTTCGTTATCAGTTCCTCATCATGGCTAGATTTAATGATACTATGGTCTTCGTTCGTCAGGGTTGATATCGGAGCCGATAGCGGAGCAGTATATTCCACATTCTGCCGAATCTCTTCGAACTAATTCACTTTTGTGCTGATTCCAATAACTTTTTCTGCCTGTACCGATGTAAATCTGAAAAAAATCTGCAGGTGACATTTGTTAGCAACATTGGTAGGTGTGTGGAAATAAGATCATTCTTCGGTTTCCTCTTCTTTTTTTCGAGCAGTTCTTTCTTAGTAATAGAGACGCGGTCCGAACTTCTCATATGAGCAACTGAGGCGAGTTCGGTGCAAGCTCAAGTCCTTTGGCAAGTGTTTTGTAGTTTTCGGCCTGGTCTTTGTTAATCTATCAGACATATGAGAGGATTTTGTCGAGAACATTGTCGTCATACATGACTTGTATTGTTTTTCTTAGGCGATAACAGTTCTTTTCCAGTTTATGGTTGAATCGAATCTTTTCGCGGAGAAAGCGATGGTGTGATCTAGTACAGAATTTAAGCACCTTGGAGGTGTCAAAGAGGAACCATTATCTGTTCGTGAGAATATGATTGATCTTCGAAGCCGCGGTGTCGTTAAAAGACTCCCATGACCTTCGGCGTTTTCTCTCTTCTCAAAAAATGATTTGCCATGAAAGAAATCAGCTACCAGTAGGAGTCCTGCATGATAGTTTCCACTGTCACTTCGATTTCCTGTTCCGAACATTGTGCCCTTTATTTATTTTCCTCAGCCCTTCCTAGTCTAGCATTGAAGTTTTTAACAACAAATTTACAGAAACTGTTTTCGTTGTGGATTATTTCCTTTAATTAACTGTAGAATGCATCGAGTTTATTCTCATCAGCTGTACAATTTGGCGAGTAATAGTTGGTTGATGATAGCAACTTTCTTTTGAAGCGCAGTGTGGAGCCGAAGAATGGCCTAGTGTGGTGGTAGGATTTCGTATGACGTGAGTAGATAGAAATTAAATAGGTATACGTCAAAGCCGCGTGTGGCGTGATATGCAATACACACGGGGTCGATCCCAGCGCCCCAGGCTCACCAAGCCCTCCACCCCTCTGGCGTCGGTAAATTGGTATAATACCAAACTTGTCTGGGAGGATAGTAGCACTGGCTCAATACATTGGCGGGCCACCGCGAGTTATTGTAAAGCCAGATATGTATTCAATCACCTCCAAACGATGGCTAATGAAGTTGGATGCATGGCACATCTCTCTGGGATTGATCAACGCGTAGAGCTTTATCCTTTATCCTTCATATGACAAAGCCAACTCTTATGGCATTTTGCAACAGAAGTTTTCCGAATGGCAAAAGTTTCTTCATCCATTTGCCATGTGTCGGTTCTCCTGCTTTTTGTTCAGCCTCAGGAAGAGCGTATTGGTTGGCGTCTGAAGAGACTGTTCCGGTGTTTATATGTGAAGAGCAATGAGCAGTTTCTATGCCGTGTCGGGCATGCTCGTTTTGAGTGTTTCCAATGATGTTCTCTGCAATCCGAGATTGGATTGCCTCTCACCATTTGTCTCACCGCCTGACATCGGAGAAAGGAGCACCCACGGTGCAGGGTACTGAGGCCGAAATTTTGTTCGCTTAGCCGTTGTGATTTTCTGGAATCGTGAGGTCAGCCTGGCTGAAGCCTTTCTGAGGTCGTCACCACCCCAAGCAGTCGCCGACCTTTGTGGATCAGAGGGAGATTCGCCACCATGCGACTAATTTGGTAGGAGGACAGCGGTGATTCCTGGTATTGGTTTACCAATAGGTAGGCTTTCCGGACGAATACTTTAGATTCCTCGAATTGAGATACCGGAAAATCCGAGTATCATTCTGAGAGAATATAGAAGGATATACCTGGTAAGGAATGATTTGTAGATTCTACTGCTTCTTGTGTACACTAACGATGACGATAAAAATTAGCTGAGGCGTTTTGATTAAAATTTAGAGTCTGGCATTATTTTTGTACCAAATGCGTTGCAATCATGCACGTGAATGTATCAACAAGTGGTTATAGCTAAATTTTAGAGCAGCGGCCCAACGTTCATCAAACTGGGGCAGTGGGCCAGCACACGGCGTGATATCTTTAGCAAGGAATTTTGTGATCGGGTATCTTTTCGTTTCTTATTAACTGCAATTTGAGTTCAAAGTGAAGAGAACAATTTGGAAGATGGTACTTGAAGTGAACTGTGGAGTTCTACAACAAATTGCAACACAATTGCTCATGCATTGTTATATTTAGTCGTTTCTTAGGCTGTTATTGTAGTTCATAATAGCGGAAGTATGTTTTATGTTTATCTAGATATACATAAATTCATATATATATATATATATATATATATATAAGGGCAGATAGCACAGTGGTAGTGATGTCCGTCTAGCACGAGTATGGTGCTAGTTCGATTCCGCTCCGGGTCAACCAAGCCTCTCATCCCTCAGGGATCGGTAAATTGGTACCGGATTTTTCTGGGGAAAAAATCACTCCCTGCAATCCAATTGGGAACGTTCAAGCCCGGCTATCTCAGGATTTCAGGGAGATTAGCTGAACCAGCATTCTACGACGTTCAAGATGAAATGAAAATCCTCGAACAGCAATCAAAACCACACGTAAAGGTTGGAAGGTCTTCGTCGATAATGAATGCAAGGAAACGAATCGAATGTGAAAAGTGCTGGATCCGCACAGTAGACATGAAGGCGCGTGATAAAAAATAAAATAAAAACAATATGCATATACGTATATATAATGGTGTCCTTTTAAAGATGTCGATACTGCATACGAAGTCTAGGAGGCAACAACGTTTCCGTGAATGTGATCGAGTTTTTGATGAATTGTTCGGTGAAGGATTTGCTAAGAATTACAAAAAGGATGTATTTCTTTATATCGAACCGTATTCGATTGGTTCCGGATGCATCTCTCAGGTGATTGTGGTCTATGCTTCCATTTCAGCCTAAGTTATTATAGTAGGTAACAAATAAAAGATTGACATTGTGATTTCAACTACAGCTTCAGCTTAACTGAGTTCAATGCCGATTTGTGCTTCTCAGATTATTCCCTTTGATGGGAGATTGCTGTTGGAAGCATTACGTTGAAAACTATCTGAGAGAAACGCAAAGCAAGGGTCTCAGTGGTGCAGTATACAATACACGAGCCACCGAAAAGGGTAATCATGGTTCGATCTGGTCCGGGGTCCAAGTTTTGCAACTATATCAGCATTATTGTGGTTTCAATTTGCTATGTTTAGGCGTCTTAACATATACTTTATATTGCTGTAATACATTTTCTTTCTGGCTGTTTATACTAATGCAGAGGGATTTCTGTTGCAATCCAGCACAGATGTTGGGTCGGACAAATTCCGAGAAAATTGCCTTTTTGCACTTAATCATGTATTGTGCGATTTTATTTGTGTCTTGAGAGAGACCATTGTTCAAAAAAGTAATGATGTGTACCAAAACATTTAGACCCATACAAAATACGCGTTATGATATGCTACTAAACTATGTATGGATCTTTGATTGTTCAATTATGGGTGAAAATAGAAGATTTGGATGTGTTTAGCTGTAGTCAATATCTGAGATGAGACCGATTAAAGTATATAGATAACTTCGTTGTTGAATTGTGGATGAGGCTTTTTAATTATAGAGAAATATTCTAGGTGTTCTTGAATGAAACATAGAATTGCGCGGAGATGTGCGTAGAGAAAGCGACATCTTGTTACAGAGCGAAAGTTAAAAAAATAAGTGTGATCATTTTTGAAGGCAAAATATGCCGTATGCATTGAGTTTCATGCACATCCACGACAAATTGGGCGCCTTTGTGTCTGTGCTAGTACATTTTAGATTTTGTTTTTAACATGATCTAGCGTTGTTCTTAGTTTCTTCCATACTTGTTTGCCAGTTCTCGTACCTAATTTTCCTATTTCCGATTTACAAAGCAACAGTGAATGTGTCGTCGTTAGAGGCAGTCACAGGAAGAACCTATCCACAATTGGCAGGTTGTGAAAAACGAGATGTTGTTATCAAAGTAAGCGCTATGTTTTAGATCTTTTTTCAGCAGATTATGGTTTAGTGTTCCGTAGACCTACCTGTACCCTACATTTTTTTTTAGGTTATAGAACCCGGTGTTGAGGACGAAATCAATTTAGATCTGTCGATACTACGAAATGCTATAACTCTATTAATGAAGGTGCCTTCTAGCGTTAAACACTAGAAATCTGAAGATTTTCCCAATTAAAGTTTTTTTTTTGCTCTCATCACTGGAATATATGCAGGTTGTCCCATCCCTGGAATATATGGAACCGTTGTCGGCATTGTCTCAGTTTGAAGTTGTCCTGCGTCGTCAAGTCGACCTTAGATACGAGGCCAGAGCGTTGTTGGTATGTTAAAAAAACACTGTAGGTTTCGGTTAAACAACGCAAACACTAGCTTTTTCGTTTGAGAGATGTTGAAAAATATGCCCTATTGCCTTTTATAATGTAAAAGTCTGCCTGAACGGCTTAACGCCTCATCGCGGCTGAGAAATGTTCTTTGTTGTCGTGCTGCGATATACACCGGGGGATTTATCCATCCGGCAAGGCCTCCTAAACTGAGGAGTCCGGCGTTTCCATCAGGAAGACCAGCTAAAAGTAAGGCAGCACCAGGATCCAGCACGGTGCTGGTATCAAAGTAGTCGCATGGTGGCAAATCTCACTCTAACCCACAAGGGCATCGACTACCTGCAGTGGTGACGGGGGCAGCGGAACCAAAATTGCTAAACCAGCAAAACTCCGAAAAAATGGAAATTATGCTAGGGCCCACGCAGCCAGTGAACGCGAGCCATCCGAGTATCAAAGTAAGTAAATATAAATGCGTCGTTTTCTTGTTCAGCAATGGGAAGGTTTTTAAACAGCATACATTTACTTCCATAGAGAAACAAAATACAATACAACACTAGCTGACGTTTCTGAAGTATCGCTTCTTCAGAGCCTGGAAGGGCATACTGATATACAATCTGCTAGGCCAAACGCTTCAATAACTTTTGCAAAAAGACGAGAAACTCTATGGTAATTACATGATCAACAGCTTCTCAAAAAAACTCACCGCTTTTTACGTGACTTCCAATGAGAGTGTTTAGAACAGCTGATTATAGTCGCATATGGTTGATGACTGCACCATCCCACATTAGAAACTGATACGACCATACAGGGTGAGGTCGTGTATAACTACTGGGCATTCATCCCTGATATTCATTGTAGGGTTTTCGCCATTTATCCAAAAAGCCTCAAGAAGTTTTCACGCTGGTGTTTTAGTCTCCTGTGCAGGGATATTGACTTTTACTTCGAAATCGTCTCCGCTATGCTTTTGTATCCTATGCGTGCCTAGTGGGGTGCTTCGTCTTAGTTTTCGTTTGCCATCTAGGTGTTCTTTTATACGGATACACAAAGATCTACCCGTTTCGCCAATATATTCATCTCCGCAATTATTACAAGAAATCAGGTATTACTGTACCTGAACTCTTGCAATCACCGTCCCTGCTGTAAGAGCAAATTACGCAATTTGTTGTTTCCCATAGACGGTCATACAGGCGGTTACGAACTAATTGATGACGAAGAGTAGCCGGTGGTATTTCAACTATCGCTACCGATTCCTCTAGACCTGCCCTTCTTAAGCATCGTTTTATAGCTACGCTTACTTCATCGCTTATAAAAGGCAACATAAACGGGCTTTCTTTTGGTCAAGTGTTTCGTGTGGGCGCGTCGCTCTCCTTCTAAACTTATCTCGTGGGGTTACTATTTCGTAGCCATTAGAGATGGCTATTTACCGAACCAAGTCGCGTGATTCTTCTTTTAGTTCCCTGGTAGTGCACACAGAGGTGGCTGTTTTAAACACATTTCTCACAATGGCCCTCTTTCTGTGTGAAGGGTGGGAAGAAAGGAAATGAACAAGGATGTTCTTGTTACTTGGTTTTCGGAACCACTTTGTCAAGTAGCCCCTACTGGATAGGTTTATTTGAACGTTCAAAAACGGAAGCCAGCTTTTTCTCGGTTTCTCCCGGGTGAACTTTATGTACTCAGACTGCAAGTGGTACCGAAAGCCAAGTAACAGGAACATCCTCGTTCATTTCCTTTTTTCCCACCCTTCGCACACAAAGAGAGTGATTGTGAGAAATTGGCAAATAGCCATCTCCAATGGCTACGAAATAGTAGCCTCACGAGATAAGTTTATAAGGAGAGCGACGCGCCCACGCGAAACACTTGGCCAAAAGAAAGTCCCGTTTATGTTGCTTTTTATAAGCGATGAAGTAAGCGTAACTATAAAACGATGCTTAGGAAGGGCAGGTTTAGAGGAATCGGTAGCGATAGTTGAAATACCACCGGCTATTCTACGTCGTCAATTAGTTCGTAACCGCCTGTATGACCGTCTATGGGAAACAACAAATTGCGTAATTTGCCCTTACGGAAGGGACGGTGATTGCATGAGTTCAGGTACGATATACCTGATCTCTTGTAATAATTGTGGAGATGAATATATTGGCCAAACGGGCAGACCTTTGTGTATCCGTATAAAAGAACACCTAAATGGCAACCGATCTCGCACAAGCTATTTCCTTTCAGTGGGTTTCATTGTCTGCGAAATAACGATAAACCTAAAGCATTTAAAATGCTTCTTTTCGAAACAATGGACCGACTAGGATTTTTTCAAAGGCTGGACTGCTTCTACAACAGTCTTTCAACTGCGATACTTTCTAAGAATTTCCACCTAAAGGCTTAAATCGAGAAATGTTCTCATCTGTTCAATAGTAGTTATTCCCTACGACTATTCTCTGTTGTTGATACCTGATTGTCCCCTTCTCAATCAGTTCCCGAACACCAGCCATGAATACTTCATGCCAGACTAACTGTCGTTAAAGATTCAGAGATCAATGGGCACCATACTGCTTGACCACTCATCAGCGACATTATTTTGAAACCTTGAGTTATCCTAAACAGGACTAACAGAACAATGGACGAAGGGCAACCATGTGAGCAAGCAGAATTTCGAAAAGGATTTAGTATGATGGACCATATCCACATGATAACAAGGCTCTTTGAAGTATCGCGAGAATACGAAAGACCGCTCTACCTCACTGTCATCGAGTTAAAGAATATATTTAACTCAATTCAGATAGAAGCATCCTTGGAAGTCATTGATAGTCAAGGAGTGTCTACTCAGTACATAAAGATTCTTCGTAAGCTATACAAAAATTTCATAACCAGGGTATCACCACTCCGCAACGATATTAACATTGACGTCAAAAGAGGAGTTAGGCAAGGCGATGCCATCTCGCCAAAATTATTTATTGCCACTCTCCAGAAGGTCATGCGAACATTGGAATGGGATAATATGGGAGTGAAAACCGATGGTCGGGAACTATATAATCTTCGCTTTGCTGATGACTCCGTCCTCACAATACTAAACATTAGCCAAGCGGAACGAATGCTGGTGGACTTTGATAAAGCCTGTAGATTCGTCTTCGATTAAAACTCACAAAAACGATGTTCATGAAGAACAGGTTGGTTTCGTATGCTTCATTCACGCTCAACGGAACGAATATCTCCGAATGCTCCAGTTATGTCTATCTAGGTCGGGAATCAACATGTTGAACGACTTAGCTCCAGAGTTGAGCAAAAGGAAACGGGCGGCTTGGGGAGCTTTTAAGAGCATCGAAGAAGTACGTAGTAAAGAGAACAAAGAACATCTAGATGGCAAACGAAAAGTAAGACGAACTACCCCACTAGGTACGCATAGGATGCAAAAGCACAGCGGGACTATTTTGATGTAAAAGTCAATATCCTTGCACAGGAGACTAAAACAAAATGGCGAAAACCTTACAATGAATAGCAGGGATGAATGCCGGGAGGCGATCTGACCCCGTATGTTCGCATCAATTTCTGATGTGGATGGTGCAGTCATCAACCATATGCGACTATAATCAGCTGTTCTGATCTTCCTCATTGGAAGTCACCTAAAAAGCGGTGAGTATTTCGAGAAACTGTTGATCATGTAATTGCCATAGAGTTTTTCGTCTCTTTGTAAGTGGTATTGAAGCGGTTGGCCTAGTAGATTGTATATCAGTAAACCCTTCCAAGCTCTGAAGAAGGCGATACTGCCGAAACGTCAGCTAGTGTTGTATTGTATTGTTTTTCTCTATGAAGTAAATGTATGCTGTTTAAAAACCTCGCGATTGCTGAACAAGAAAACGACGCATTCATATTCCACTGCAGAGGTTAATAGAAAGTCGATCATGGGGACTAAGTAAATATATTCAATAAAGACTTTGTTACCTAAAGTTGTCATGGAAACAATGTTAAGTTGTGAGTGTCAATTCCCCATGTTAAGAAACTTTGAGTACTGCTCATCGTAAATGTGAACATAATTTATAGTGTTTCAGAGGTTTTCCAAGAATTTCGATCATAAGAAGACCGGCATCAAGTTTCCTCTTGTTATTGGCTACACAAAAGATGTGTTATTAGAAACATTTGAGGATGGGATATGCATTAACCGCCTTGTATCCGAGGAAAAGGACTCAGAGGTAGTGTAATTTTCCGTGATTAAAGGTCTTACAGAAAGTTGATGTCAATGGATGATTTTATGGTATTTTAGTTGGTTCCTTTTCTTTCGCTCTTAGTGCGAAAACGAATCGCCTTACTGGGTGCAAGAGCGCTACTGAAAATGATATTCGTTGACAACTTCGTGCACGGTGATCTACATCCGGGAAATATTTTGATCCGGTATTCAAAAATTTGAACTAGGGTTGTTTTGCCTAATGTTCCTCTCTTGCAGTAGCGAAAATAGGGAAATCTCTATATGATCTTGATCGATATGCTTCCTAGCATTAATTTCAATAATCAATCAATTAGTTTGAGCATTTATGCCACCAAAACTCGTTTCCCTTATTTTTTTGGTCCATTGCTAAGCTCTACCTTTTTTCTGTTCAGACTCAACAGAGACAACGAACGATTGTCTGGTGTACATGTCGCTCCACGGAATGAGACTTTATTCAGGCGCGGTGTAGGTTTTACTTTATGCTTTGCACTAAGGTACATATGCATTTTATTTATATATACTTGGATACTTGGATGCCCCATATTCATTGGTTGTGCTGGCCCCAGCATAATTTCCGTTCTTTCGAAGTTTTGCTGGTTTAGTCATTGTGATTTACTGGAGTCGCGAGGTTAGCCTAGCCAAAATCTGTTCAGGTCGTCACCACGGCCGACAGTCGCAGTCCTTGTGGATTAGAGGGAGATTTGCCACCAAGCGAGTGGTTTGACACTATGTGGTGGATCCTGGTTTTTTTTTACTTTTAGTTAGGCTTCGTGATGGGAATGTTGGACTCGTCAGATTGGGTGGCCTTGCTGGGAGATAAATATCACCGCTGTACATTGCAGCCCGACACCTAGGAACACCTCCTAGTCACAATGAGGCGGTCAACCGTTCGAAGGGATCTGTTTGATGTAATAAACTAGTTACCTTTTGCATGTGATTCAGTCCTTTGTGATGTTCATCGTTTCTCGACGCCCAGAAAATCCTCCCATCCATGGTGAGGTGTCGGCTGCGTTCTTATATACAATTGGTCGCAATTAGTCTATGAAGATGCTGTTTAGTATAGTTGAATTGAGAGACATACAAGTTGCTAATTTGTGCAACTGGTTTGGTTTTATTTAGGATGTGAACACTTCATATATAAAATACGGAAATGATTAACCGCTTTTCTTTAGTTGGAGCTGTTCCGAGATTTGATTGGTTGGAGAGCGTCTGCTCTCGTTCGATTCACTGATTCTCCGGAATTGGCTGACGAACCAACATTGATCATGCTTGACACCGGTATCGTCTTTTCAGAAACAGAGAATTGTCTGCGAAGTTTGAAGGCATTGTTTAGAGCGATCATCGATAAGCAGGTGCGTTCAGCAGCGTTATCGTTTCTGTTTACAATTTCATTCTGGGTCATTTACGTATAAAAATTTATGTTGAATTTTGAAGTTCAACAACCCTTGTTTTCGCCATTCGCGCTTTACTTTTTCTCATTTTTTCTTTTTTCTTCCTTTATATTCATAAGATCTCGAGAGAGCTGTTATTCACTTTTGTTCTCTGTTTCTTTCTTGTTTTCGTTGAGCTTCCTTTCTACTTCAGCTGAAAAAACACTTTTAACTTATTATTTACTGCCTTATGCTGAGATATTTGCAAAACTCCGGACTGCAGGTGTCTGCGGTGGGGAACGAACACGCTATCACCCTTCCCGGGGAGTAACGCGCTCACCAACACACCATGCGGCTCTTTCGTTTCACCTCTCAGCTCACTAAAAGAAACACTGCTTGAAAAATTTCTAGGGTTACAAGGCCGGGGAAATGCTACTTGCTCATGCCGAGAACAGGAGAAACTGTTCCAACCCGCATGAATTTTGTATGCAAGTGGATCGCCTTGTTGCTAGAGCGATGAAAGAGCGATCGCTTAGGAAGGTTAGTGGATACATTTTCCATCAAGCAAAATATACTTAAAGGTAAACAGAATTTTAGTTATTGCTAGATCCTTTCGTTTATCAAATTGTGTGGTTCGAAGTTTCTAATTTGTTAACGTGTAGGTTCAGAGAAGCCAGAGAAATTTTTTACGTATTAGACTTAATGTCGTTTTGTTCCAAGTTAAGCTTTCCTGTATAAATTTCGGTTTTCAGATGAACATCTCGACACTTTTATCGGAGTTGTTCTCCCTTGTGGCAGCCTATAACGTCTACCTGGATTCATCGTTTACATCTGTCGTGCTTTCCGTAATGGTACTCGAAGGACTTGGCAGATCACTTGATCCCGACATTGACCTCTTTCAATGTGCACGGCCGTATTTGTTAAACATGGTGTAATTGTTATTGTTAACACAAGGTCATTCTTATAGAGTATGTTGCGATCTCAGTGACCGTACTTTTGCTCGTTAATATAATATAGGAATAAGGTGGTTTCCAGAGTTGTAGCAATAGCTAAGTGCTGTTGTTGTTTTCTTCGCATATGAACTATTTAGAGGGTCACTATAGTCCTAAGAACCTTAATTATGAGGGCATTGGCTGATTGAGATTTGCCTACATTGCGTTTGAAATATAGGTTTCGTGATTTTTTTGTTGGGGTTATGGAGGTGTTTGGCTGACTAGATTGGAGTCTACTTGGGCTTTGCAGGCTCTGAAGAAGGCGGAATTCGCCGAAGTGTCAGGTCTTATTAATGGAAAGTATAGATAGTATAGTAAGAGTATTAACCTCATGTGTGCTTATTAAGAAAACAACGAATCGCTGATTGAATTACGTTGAACGTTGTGTTTCTATGAGCTTGTGGGAAATTTCAAGATATTTATTTAGATTTTATTTTGTTTACCCGGTTTTTTACCATCAGCTTTTCTAAAGTGGTCGTTTTCATATGTTCATATCTAGTTCATATCCTGTTTTAATTAGCAGTTAGTGATAAAGACGTTTTTGATGTGAAATGTAAGTATTTTTGGATTGGGTTTGCTGAACCGCCGATCTGCTAGATCGTTTCCTTTCCCTTGTTCAAGAGCTATTAATCATGGGTGTTTTATATTATTATACTTGTAGGACGTAGTTATTTTATCTAGTTGTCTCACGTATTACTAGAAGGGTGTGTTTGTATGTTTGTATTTTTTATAGCATGGATTTATTTGGTTGTCTACTATAGTGTGCGCGTGTGGCGCAGTGGTCGGAGGCCCCTGCAATACACATGGGATCGATCCCGACGCCTCCAGGTTAATCAAGTCTTCCATCTCTCCGGAGTTGGTAAATTGATGCCAGACTTATCTGGGAGGATAGATACTGGCTCAATACATCGCTAGGCCACAGTGGGCCATTGTAAAGCCCGAACATGCATTCCGTCATTTCTTGCGATGCTTAGTGAAATCGAATACATGGCGTACCCCTCGGGAATTGATCAATGCCGAGAGCTTTGATCTAGTGTAGTGTTATGTAGGCGTGTTTGTGTTTGTTTCTGAAAATAAAGCATGAATTTAGTGTGTGGATATGTTGTGATCTATGAGTATCAACGTGAGCACTCTCCGAACTTTTGGATTTCATGTTGTCCCGATGGAATAGATCATCTTAATCCCAGCTATCATCATAACCTACCTCTTTCTTGGAGTTGGACCTTTTCCTATGCTTATTTGAATAATTATAGTTGGATTGAGAAATTCGGATTTTGGGGTGTGTGCCACTTCGTCGAAGAAAATGGGGCGGTTTGAAGACCGTTCACGATGTTCATACAGAAATTAATGAATGCCACGATAATCCACGTATGGAACGCTATTTTTAAGTGTAAATGCCTATTTGGACCCTTAGTTAAGCCATGCTCACGTCTCGTACCAATTCCGGCTTTCCCATATGTTCCGTCGTGGGATAACCCATCATACATGAAGATGGTAGGGTTCGTGTGTAAAACCGGCTGTGACATAAATATCTGTGGGCTTCTCTCCTTGTTGGCATGTCCAATACTTCGAGAGCGTTGTAGTGGCTGCAGCTATTGCAACAAATATCATAGTGAACGATAAGCCACTATTCCGTAATAGTCCAGTGATTTGAAATGGGTGCGTACAGTTAGGTCATTGATTGGAGGTGCCCTGCAATACACACATGGTCACCGGTTCGACCACACTACCATGACGCACCAAGCACTCCATCCTTGCGAGGTCAGCAACTTTGTGACAAATTTGTCTGGAACGAAAGCATTAGCGACTTGATACAACGCTGAACCTTCGCGAGCTGTAGTGTAGACCACATTTGCATTCAGTCATCTCTGACGATACTTGATGATTTCGAATGTTTGGTGCATCCTTTCACAGACTGAGTAAAGGCGGACGCTTTACGCTTTATCTGTTTTTTGAATAATGAGAGGGATAATACAACCACAACGTTGCTGAGATATTTGAAAAACTCTGGACCGCAGGTGTCTATGGTGGGGAACGAACGTGCTATTGTCCTTTCCGGGGTGTAACGCGTTCACCACCACACCATGCGAGTTCTTTGTTTCGCCTGTCTCTCAGCTATTTCTATCGATCTTTGCCACAGCAATCACCCATCAGCGGGATTGATCTGGGGCGCCTAAATCGGCATAGAACCCAGTTAAGATGCGGCTGAACGCGTTACTCCCCGGAAAGGACAATAGGGCGTTCGTTCTCCACCATAGACACGTGCGGTCCAGAGTTTTGCAAATATCTCAGCAACGTTTTAACGTTTTGTTTTCTGCCTTCTATAATTTTCATGGCAGGTTACTAAGCGAAATACAACCACAATGTTGCTGAGATATTTGCAAAACTCTGGACCGCAGGTGTCTATGGTGGGGAACGAACGCGCTATTATCCTTTCCGGGGAGTAACGCGTTCACCACCACACCATGCGGGTCCTTTGTTTCGCACGTCTCCCAGCTATTTCTATCGATCTTTTTGCCACAGCAATCACCCGTCAGCGGGGTTGATCTGGGGAGCGCAAATCGGCATAGAACCCAGTTAAGCTATGGCTGTAGTTGAAATCAAAAAAAAAAAAAAAAGATCGATAGAAATAGCTGGGAGACGTGCGAAACAAAGGACCCGCATGGTGTGGTGGTGAACGCGTTACTCCCCGGAAAGGATAATAGCGCGTTCGTTCCCCACCATAGACACCTGCGGTCCAGAGTTTTGCAAATATCTCAGCAACATTGTGGTTATCTCAGCAACGTTGTGGTTGTATTTCGCGTAGTACCCTGCCGCGAAATTATAGTAGGCAGAAAATAAAAAGGTATAACATTGTGATTTTAATGAGAGGGATAGTTCAGGGACAAGTTAGGTGACAAGACGTTGCCGTGTGTGTGCTCAACTTCAGAGGTGGATTTGTGTCGTGATGTCGGCTGAGTGGAATTTGTGTAGTATGTAGGTGTTACTCTTTAACATTTGAGGAGCTGTGAGTAATAGTCGAAAAACAAAAATTGGTCCATAGTTGTTTGTTGAGCGCACGACGTCGTGTTCTAAATGAAGATGCTGAAGATTAATTTGCTTCTTTGAGTGGAGCGCTACTCGATTTGTTGCGCGGATCTTTTGGTTGCTGTCTTCAGAGTTTTTACTTTAAACTCAAACTTAGGTAACTAAGACCTGTATCGATATTATGTGCATCAACACGATACAAAGAACAACGAAGTGTAGAACTAAAGTATGTCATAAACATTGCAACAGTGATTACTACAGAGTGGTGGTACGGTCATCTACGAGATGACGTTCACAACTAGAAGAGCGGTTTGCTAATTGGCATCCAGTAATCTATTTCGATTACAGTCTGAAAAGTAAGAGGGATGATGGGCGAAAATAGTAGATGAGAACGCGGAGAATGATCGCTTAGTTAGCCATCCGTTGTTCTTTTATACTGGTCATATAAGCAAGTGGTGATCACTACTGACTTTTCTGAGGCGGGCAAGTGGGCGGAGCCCATGGTGAGTTGGGTGGTGGCTCGTGGGGAGTGGAGAGGGAGGGGGAGGAGATTATATTACATTGTTCACTGGTCCATGAATAGATGACATGATATGCCACATGGTCTCTTAGTCGACTTGAGAACAAGAATGGTTTTTTTTCCCAGAATTTTGAGTGAGTTGTGAGGTGATTGCAGGTAGGTCTTCACGCTAAACAGCTGGAAAACCGTTGCGAAGTGGAGCGATTACTCTGGTTTCCCGCTCATCTACTGCTTAAGAACATTTTTTTGGTGACAGCAATTTACGGAATTAAATGACCGACCGATCATCGATGATACAGGTCAAGTAACATATCAGGTATTGCATTTCTGGTTGAACAACCAAGGCAGGCTCAGAAACGCCAGAAACTCGGCGTATTGATGTCATTTAGTGGAAGTGGAAATATTGAGGCGATTTTAGAGGCTCCAGCCAATGTCTTCACAAGTTACTCCCAACATTCGTGATAGTTCGTTGTCGGTGCGCGTGTGGCGCAGTAGTTGGAGGCACCGTTGTGACATACACGTGGAATCGATCCCCGCGTCCATGGCTCACCAAGCGTTCCATTCCTCCGGGGTAGGCAAATTGGTACCAAACTTATCTGGGAGGATAGCAGCACTTGCTTAATACATCGGTAGGCTACCGCGAGTCATTGTAAAGGCCAGATATGCATTCAATCACCTCCAGTGATATTTAATGAAGTCGAACGCGTGACTCATCCGTCAGAAATTGATCAACGCTAGGAACTCTCTCCTCTATCCTTTATCCTTTATGTTCGTTGTCTGCTTATAAAATATGTAAGCCGTTTAATACTTTTTTCAAGCGAAAAGATGCTGAGATGTGAGCAAAATTGAGGATCTCAGATGAGCTTCGGACCACATCTCAGCATCATCTTCCTCATTTCATGACCAAACAGCGAACATAATCATCATAAATGTTGAGAGCCATTTATGATGAGAGAGGGCTCCAAAATCGCTTCAATCTTACACTTAATGACACTAAATCAATAATCACTTACACTAAATGACAACATTATGTCAAGTTTCTGGGGATTCTCAGTCTGCGTTGGTTGTTCAACTAGAGACACCATATTTGACGTTGCATTTGGTCTGTAAATCGTCCACGATCGACCGATCGCTTAATCTCAGGAATTTCTCTTTTTTTTTCACTCAAGTGAAATGTTATGGAAATGTCATATTGTGATATTGTTGACGATAATAATATTGCGGAGACAAAATATGGCCTGAAATACTCTCAAAATTTGCGCAGGCGCAACTGAGTACGTTGGTGGGAATAGAGGAGATTTGGTACTTTTCTATTGCAGTATCCGGCAGTTCACTATACTTCTGAGGCCGTTCTTGCCGATAGCCACTTCTAAGTAAGATTAGCATCACTTCTGGCGATTTTTGTAAGCTCAAGCTAGCTTTTTTGCTTCTTTCTCTGTCGTCTAGTGTGGCGGTAGACTTAGTATATGATGAGGTCTGGTAATTTTGACGTTTCGTTTAGAAGCTGTGCATTGCAATACACCTGGCCATCGTAAACTCTACTGAAAATACGTTTGTTCGTTCCGAATTGTTCTTTGTGAAGTGGACCACACCAGTCTGCGCTTAATTCTGCCCTTGATTTTCGAGTATTAAAGTATTAAATGTAAGTACTAAAGACATACTATTATTTGAAGTTGCTGTAGTAAGTCTGTTTCAAACAAGTTAGCATTTCTAGAATACGTTCTTGTTCTCGACACACGAGGTTAGGTGAAAAAATCCTTGTTTCATCATTGAGTGTTTGTCTCCCGGACTCTCTGTTGTTTAAAAAATCGTTTGGAGGCAGATCATGGCTTTATCATACTAATAAACATCTAATTCCGTCCAAGCAACCTTTGAAAAGTGAAAGCGGGTTTCCCTTTTTTCACCCAACAGGTGGCAGGTCAAACTGTTGTTAACCAGTATTCTAGTGAAACCTAGTAACTGAGAAGAACTGCCACGACCGACTTTCTACTAACCTCGGCATTGATCAAGTGATTTTGTTCGCACTTTTGCTGAGCAAACGCGAGGTGTTATTATTCTTTGTTCACGATTAAACTGACGTTTCGGCGAATTTCGCCTTCTTCAGAGCCGCTTTTTATGAGGTCTCCACTAAGTATGTCACGTAGAGACCAACCGCACAGAAATCACGTGGAAGTATAATCAGCTTATACACATATACATTACAGTATTACATTACAGTATTACATTATACCTCCACGTGATTTCTGTGCGGTTGGTCTCTACGTGACATACTTAGTGGAGACCTCATAGAAAGCGGCTCTGAAGAAGGCGAAATTCGCCGAAACGTCAGCTTAATCGTGAACAAAGAATAATAACACCTCGCGTTTGCTCAGCAAAAGTGCGAACAAAACTGAGAAGAACGATATTTTTCCGTTAACGTTGAGTCTAACGGCCAGGAAATGGAGGTTTTTCGAAATTTAGCTCCAATTATGCTGAGATATTTGCAAAACTCCGAACCGCGGGTGTATGCGGTAAAGAACGAAAGCGCTATTTTCCTTTCCGGGAGGTAACGCGCTCACCACCACACCATGCGGGTTCTTCGTTTCGCCTTTCTCTCAGCTAGTACTCTAGCTATGGCAAGGTTCGATAGAACTAGCTGAGAGACAGGTGAAACGGACCGCAGCTGTCTGCGGTGGGGAACAATTCGCCTGACGGGTGATTGCTGTGGCAAAGATCGACAGAACTAGCTGAGAGACAGGCGAAACGAAGGACTCGCATGGTGTGCTGGTGAACGCGCTACTCGCCGGAAAGGACAATAGTGCGTTCGCTCCCCACCGCAGACACTTGCGGTCCGGAGTTTTGCAAATATCTCAGCATCATTGAAGTTATATTTCGCAATATACCCTGCCATTAAAAAGAGTAGGCAGAAAATAATAAGTTAGGATTTTTCGAAATTATTTACGGGTTCCGTGGTCTATTTATCTCGAGTGAGTTGCGGTTTGTGGTTTTTAGGACGAAGTGTGAAAGAGTAAAGTCATATTTCGAAACCACTATGCCACATTTCTGCTTCTGACAGTGAGGAAAGTGTAGAAACCTCAAGTCAGAAAATGAATCGCTTACTATTATTGAACTATTTGCTCGTTTGCCTAGCAGTTGCTAAATCTGAGCAGCAACCTTAAGGTTTCAGGAAGAGATGACGCGAATATTATCTATTGGAAACATCTGCACGATTAAGTTCTATTAGGAATTTGTGGGTTTTCTATTTCGAATAGCCCTAAGTCTTTTAAAGATGTCATTTCATCCACCAGTTCGTCCTGAAGTGAAGCCGAAACCACCAAAGAAATGGTATGAAGAGCTGTTGGAGAAGGTATGGAAAATCGATAGGAATTTCTATAATCACTATTTAATCACGTTAATCCGTTTTAGGATGAGATTTTATTGTATTTCACTGCCATTCTTGGCGTACTTCTTCCTGCCGTTGTGTATGTTGTCTACCACAAAATCCATTCCATCTACATGAACTATGTAAAGGTCCGTTCCAGAACATCCTTTTTTCCTAGTTTCTACAAGGTTTCAATAAACTTTAAAGCCTTTCGCAGTAAAGCTGCTGTTTCGACGATTGACAGGAATTCCTCGATCACTAGAGTATTTCAGGAATTCTGAACTCTATAGGTTCATAGACAAGACGTTGCTCTATCGCAGTAATCACATATACCATTTTTATGCAGTGTCCTTTCAATTTTTAATCAGGTTTTTTCGAAATCACCTGCCAGTCTCCCATACGTTTTTTCTTCCAGAAAAGGGACAGTGAACGGCTAGCCGACGAAGCAGCGCGTTCTGAAGTTGCCGTCATTTCATTGTGCACTGAAGACAGTCCTGCACAACGATTTTTAACACATTTACAATCGACACTGAGTGCAGAACTCATTAATCCACCAAAGTTATGGCCAGTGGAGAACTTAAAAACTAAGGATTTCATACATTTTAAGGTTAGTCGATAACGAAAGTTAATTAGATGTTTTCTTTCAATAAGCAGACACGAGGTTGTTATTATAGAATTTATTAAGATACAATAGCTGACGTTTCGGCAAACAGTTATCGCCCATGCATTGCTCTGTGCGGCTGCTATCCAGCAACTAACTTAAATACTTACAACAAATAAACGGCTCTGAAAAAGGCGAACCCGCCGAAACGTCAGCTATTGTCTCCTAATAAATCTAATAAATCCTATAATAACAACCTCGTGTCTGCTTGTTGAATAAAAACATCGAATTATCAATCAATGCCGAGGTTAACAGAAAGTCGATCTTGGGAAAGTTAACTATTTATATTCGTTATTGGAGGATTTGTCCCTAAGAACGGCATTGACACGGCAAGTACTTTCCCTTCATTCCCAGAATAAACGTTGTATTATCAACATAGACGTACTTAATAAGTCTCGATGAATTCCTCCTTTATCAGAATCCTGTGAGGTCATTTTGATCACAATCATTGCATTCAACACCTGAGCGAAGTTTTAAGGTTTCAGTCACCCACAACAAAACTGCACTCTTAGCAAAAAAAAAACGGTTGCCGTCCGATGAACACATAGAATGGTCAACAGTGGTTGTCTACCTGCCATCAAATCGAATTAGGGGTATAGAAACGCCTTGCATTTCATCGTGATCGTCTTGTTCACAACGACATCAAGTGATTTTCATCTTCTGCCGTAGTGGTGCATAACTAGATTAGCAGCTGAAATGAAGACGTTGTGAGTTTTACTGCTATCAACTGGTCTTCTTTTGTTGGGGAAATGATGAAGAATATTTTGGGAAAACGGTACAGAACCACTTCTAGCCATATAAAAGAGGAAACATAACAGAACCGGGTAAAAAGATGTGCAATGAAAAGTATTACTATTGCGTCGATAAGGAATAATGTGAATGCTCCTAATAATGCAACATGAACTTTTAGACATTGAGAAAGTTGAAACTCACAGATGAAAGAACCACGATCGACAGATTCTCGTAAGACAACCTTATTTCAGCTCGTCAGGGATACAAAAGCCGAGTGCCTTTACCTAAGTCTTATTAATTATTAGTCTTATTAAATAAGTCTTATTAGCAAGGCTCCACAAATGTAATTGTGTATCTTGCTCTAAGTATTGCTTTAATGCATATGAAAACCGTCTCTTTCAAGAAGATCTTATTACAAGTTCTCGCACCTCGCAATGGATTACTGTAGCATCGTGGGTGGCGAGGTGTTCCTGGGTGCAAATTTCCATTTGCAAGCTACGGTTCATCCGCCACCGATCAACATGATCCAGACTGAGAAGGTGTTTACTATTTCAACGCGGATACGTAACCAAGATTAAACTTATCCAATGGCAGAGTCCTCTCAATTACCCATATCACCTTGACGCAAAACGCAATAGAAAATATCATCACACCAAAAGCGCGTTGTTCTGCGTGTTCTTCAGCGACGAATGAAGAGTTTGCTGATGGTGAACGTGAGTAAATTAACCTCTAGATAGAGTTAACTAACAATAATGTGATAGTGGTCGATTCTCTTTTTACAGAGGTAGCCATCATGGGGTAAACATATCATCAATGAGGAAGACCATATGCAATATATTGACCAGGCAAGATGTCGATAGCATATCATGTAAATACAGTTCAATCAAGAAGAGTTACTAAAAGCACCGACACTCGGTGAATGGTTTAGTATGAAATGGCAAGGCAATGAGTTGATAAACCAATCGCAGCCCTTGTATAGCGCACATGGAGAGCGCAAGAATTGGAGACGTTTACAAGATCATTATGGTAGCTACATGTTGCTCAATGAGTTCTGCAAACAATACCCCACTAAAGGTTGTCAGTTGGCTGCTTTACCAACATGAGGGCACGTGTAGCGCAGTGGTTAGAAATGCCCTGCAATAGGCTCGATCCTCAGGCCTAAGGCTCACCAAGCCTTCCATCCGTCCGAGGTCGGCAGTAAATTGGTACCAGACCTGTCTGGGAGGATATCAGGACTGATTCGATATATCGGAAGCCACCCTGAATCAATGTATAGGCCAGATATGCATTTTGTCATCTCTAATGATTCTTAATGAACTCAAATGCATGGCGCATCCCTCAAGGATTGATCATTGTCGAGAGCTTTGTCCCATATGACCCATTTCCTTTTATCAGCATGTAATAACAAGAAGAAATTTCTTCCTTACGAGTTTTTCTCAGTATCATTTTTTTCATCTAATGTATACTATCAAAACGTAGTAAAGGCCATTCTCTGTATAAATGCTTCCATTCAGGGTTTTTGTGTGTTTGTCGTCGAGACCCTGACTGCAGGCGCGGCTCCGATTAGTGCTGAATGGTTTCTGGATTGGTTAGAAGACGTTGCTGCGGATGCAAAGCAAAAGAGAAAGGCTAACTTTGATGCGCTGAAATTCGTCATTGTTGGATTTGGCTCCAGTACCGCAGAAGAATCGCATTTCAATAAGGTGATAACCACATGGATTTCTTTGTCATTCGCATGGTTTCACGTGCATTTGCTGTAATTTTACTCAATTATTACTTATTTATTTAATTAACTCACCAAAAGGAACACCCTTACTGGGGATTCGGCTCACCTTATTTTGATGTCTAAGCTAGGGACGGATTCGGTGAGGGCTCTGGTATCCGGTGCGAAGGTCTCTGTTTGTACAACGCAATCGCACCATATCGGTACTTTTTGGCTCAACAACGCAGTCCTACTTAATCACCCCGACTCATCTCAAGCGTTGGAAGCTTTCATCATTGCCCAACGATAAGCCATCAGCGTATTGCTAGCAGAAATGTCGTCGTACCTCTCATTGGTTTGAGCCAATTACTTATTACGGAAAAATATTTTTTCTGCGGAGGTGTGCTCATATGGATCATGTGATAATAATAGGAGTTAAATTTTACATATCGATATGATCAAGAGGATAACTAAACAGTGGGAAAGAAAAACTCCTATCCAAGTTTTCATAGATATAATCTTCACGGAATAATTGCGTTCAATAACTATTAGTAAGTGGAATGAAACTATTACGAGATACTCAAAACAAATATGAGAAAAAGAGAAAAAACAAAGATGTGGGAAATGATTGCCTTCAAGTAAATTTCACTTCCTTATCTGTTGTTTTTCTTTTCCTATTCTTCTGTTCTTTTCTTCACGATAGGAATCTTATCGATTTCTAACAGCTTTCTTTAAGATTGCGGCAAGACACTCACTATGCCTAGATAGTGGAAAAAATATGAAAAAATTGAATAAAGACAGAATCCCTCCATAATTATGCTCCATTTTTTATCTCTAGGTTTCGCACACGTTATTGAAACGTATGAAAATTCTTGGATCAAAGCAAATCATGAACGTGGTGCTGTTCGACACATCACAGCCAGGTAGGCTGTTCCTACCTTTATGAGAAATGGAAAAATTAAACGAGAGATGAGAAATTTAAGGCTAAAAGGAGAACATGAGGAAAAAAAGTAGGAGTAATAAAATTAACATTCCACTAAGAAATGTAAAGAATATAACATCACACTAGTGAATCCTGGGTAGATATGGGAAGACGAATAACGAGGAAATCTAACGAAAACAAAAGGTTTTATTTGGATTCTAAACCACTTAGAATTGAAGCAGATATGAAGTCATTTCTAGAGGAAATAATCCTAGTAAAAGAAAGAAGAAAACGTCTGAGAAGCATCGCTTTGTTCTTTTTTCTTAATTTTTCATGAATGTATGTGAGATGCCTCCCTAAGGTTTACCGCCTTATCGTGACTGGGAGGTGTTCCTGAGTGTCGGACTGCGATGTACAGAGGGTGATTCTTACCCTGGCAGCATTTCCCAAGCTTAGAAGGAGTCCGGCGTTTTCATCAGGAAGCCTAGCGAAGAGTGAGCCAATACCAGGATCAACCACCGTCCTGGTATCAAAGTCGCATGGTGGCAAATCTCCTAATCTAGAAGAGCTGCGACTGCCTGTGGTGGTGAAAACCTGGGGCAGACTTTGGCCAGGCTGACATCGGGATTCCAGGGAGCCACAATGGCTTAAACAGCAAATCTCCGAAAAATGGAGATTATGCTGGGGCCCGCACAACCAATGAGGACTGGCCATTCAAGTATCAAGTAAGTAAGTACCAAGTATATGTAGTAGTATATGACTATTTATTATGTCAGTGGCTGTATTCATCAATAATAATGCATGCTGGGTAGATGGAGCGGACTGTATGCATTGATGTCAATGCATTTTGAGGAGCAAATATAGGTATGGTGCAGAGTGACCGCCACACAATGTTCGGCGTGGTAATAAATTTGTTTCAGAATTGTTTGCATCGCACAGATACAAAAGGACAATTTTTTCAACATAGAATTTTTCAGTTCTTCTAAATTCTTATCATTTCTACTCATTCCAGAATCATATTTGTCTGGACGTTACGACAGCTTATCACTAGATCTTCTACAAGCAATCGATAGAAATCTGCCTGGAGCAGAAAACTCTGACACGGATAGTCTAACTGATGACTTCAGTGATGAGAGTGAAGACGAACAACAGGAGATGACGATCCATGATAAGAAGGCGCTCTGAGTCTTTTTTCTTTTTCTCTTTTTTCATGTGTTATTCACTGCACTGTATCTGATTCAATGTTTTTGTCGTTCGTTTGGTGCTGAAAAACGTGTTCGTGTGACGAACTTCGATAACCCAAATCTGTTGATGTTACCTGAGCTTCATTGCTGAGCTTAAAGCATTTTTTTATTCTGATGTCTCTTATCGTCGTTGAGTTGTTTACTTAGTGTTGTTAATCTCGTAGTTGTGATATGCATCAATATCGATTGAGATGAATGGGGATGCTGGTTCTTCTGTCAGCTCTTCTGGTTTGAGAACAATCAGTTACCAGAAGAGGTTATTAGATGAACTGGTCTTCTGCATTTGTTCATTTCCAGTGACCGCGGTTAGTTCTTCGTTTTTAGTCACTAGTGTACATATTAACATAACGATACCAAGAATAGTAAGAGTTATGGTAACGATGGTATTAATAGGGGCTGTTAGCACAGTGTTAATAAAGACGTTCACTCACTGTGAACATAGCCCAATTCACCGAGGCTCTGGTTCGACCCTACTTTGTGCCAACCAGACCTTCCATCCCTGCGTGGTTGGGAAATTGCTAGGAGACTTATTTAGGATCAACTCACTTCTTGCAATCTACGTGGATACGTCAAAGCACGACTATCCCAAGAATCTAAGGAGAAGCGATTCGACCAGCATTTAGTTTTGTCCATGAAAAGATCGGAAATCTTTGGTAGCAACAGAATTCATGGACAATTGGGACCCGAACAATAAGCGATCTCGTGTGAAGAGGTGGTCTAAAAAGGAAAATGAAATAATGATTACTACTATTTACTCTAATTACCTAGGTGGAAACTACTAGGCAGTTAGATACCTAGTGATTTATCCTCACATGTTACACGTGCCTCCGCATTCACTTCATTCCCTACGTTTTCCCAACCGTTATCCATGGAGCAGTCGTGATCGCAGGTTCAGCTGCCACTCAGGAATCTGACTCATCAAAGTTCTTCATCCCCATAACTTCTTCACGGTGATCAGATACATGTTTTAAAGCTCCAACGATGGTGTCTGGTTCTTTGAAAAGGATAATTTCTTATAAAGCCTACCCTCTATATTCTGATTCAGAGCCTTCCACCAACGTTAAATCTCTTTTTATTGTCATCTACAACTGATGAGGAAACGCGCAGTCTCTTCCTGGAATCGATGTGCCTTGTCCGATTCTTCGTATCTTAACCGTTATGCCAATTTTGGGTATGCTCGACAAACGACATTGTTTTTGACGCGTGACTTCTATACTTGCTTCGACAAATCTTTCCTATCCACTCATTTCTAACAATAATCCCAAGATGATGGTGTGCTCTTCCAGTAGCGAGTCGTCCAACTACTTCCATTTCTATGCTCCTCTACGTATTCGTAGTGGATGACTAGAACCTACCATGAAGTCCGAAAGAGGATGCTTGGTGCTAAAGTTCCTGAATAGCGGAAAGTTGGAATGTCTTATTCCTAAATTCCAAAACTATTGCAGTGGTTGGGATCGAACTAAGGTTGTTTTACATCACTCGATATTACATATTGCGCGAATTTTAGCATTTCTTTCATTCGGTTCGTTTCCTTAAACCAATAGGCATGAAGGTCTCCAGATTGAGCGTAAGGGTTCGGCTGCTGCTGGTTGAGGATTGTAAGCTTTCTCTACGAATGTCATTTAAAGCAGGTGAAGTCGATACACTGTGGATTTATAGATGGTCATATCAGCGTATTCTCATATCTTATGGATCACAGGTGGTTTCCCAGAAAAGTCTGGTTCTAATTTACCAATCTCGGAGGGATGGAATGCATAATCGACCTGGTGCTGGGTCGAAGCAAGGTTTTCCGCATATATTAAATAACCTCACTACCACTGCTTTACTCGTGGGCATGAAATTAGCTCTGATAAAAGTCATAAAGGTGCAACGAACTTAATCAGGTATAGAGCGATTCGAAAACCGACTTTTCTTTAACCTCGGTATCACTAGTCAATATGTATTTTTCCTTTGATAAGCTTACACGAGGTTGATAAGTATTGTCTATTACCGACCTAAAAAAATTAGTCAATAATTAATTGCAAACAACAATTGGTTGATAAAGGATAAAAAATGCTGTCGGCGTTGATCAATACCCGAAGTATGCGACATGCCTTCGACTTCATTATGTATCGTTGGAGGTGATTGAATGCATATCGGACCTTAACAATGGGTCACGGTGGCCTACCGTTGTATCGAGCCAGTGCTGCTATCCTGACAACCAAGTCTGGTACCAATTTCCCAACCCCGGAACGATAGAAGGCTTAATGGGCCATGGGCGCGGGGATCGATTCCACGTGTGTGCTGTAGAGCGCCTCCGACCACTGCACCACACGCGCCCTTAATTAGCCGGTAATAAACATTATTTACCAACCTCGTGTAAGCTTATCAAAAAAAGAATACAAATGAAGGATTGTTATAACTTCGTTAATCTAAGTATTAAAATTAAAAAACAAAGTCAAACTAGTAACTATGCTCTTTCTACTTCTGTTCAGCAAACATGAGGCGCTATTTTATTTCTTTATTTACGCACGAGCTGACGTTTCGGCGGATTTCGCCTTCCTCAGAGCCTGGAAGGGTCAAGTTGACAGCAATCCATTCGGCCAAACACCTCCATAACCAAGCAGAGAAAACGCTAAACCAAGATTTCAATCACATTTAGCATAGCTCTGCACACTCACCGCTTTCTATGAGGTTTCCACTAAGTATGTCACATAGAAACCAACCGCACAGAATTCACATGGAAGCGTAATGTGCCCCTCACATCAGAATAACAGGTTTATATACTGTCTAATATCACGCGTGATAACGAGGCATTCCTTCCTGCGGTTCATTTTCGGATTCTTGGAATTTATCCAAAATGCCTCTAGAGTTTTGCACGCTTCTGTTCTCGATTCTTGCGCGAGGATCGTAACCCTTTCTTCAATATCTTCTCCGTTATGTTTCTGCGTGCTATGCGTACCTAGTGGAGTACTTAGCTTACGTTTGCCGACTAGGTGTTCTTTTATACGTACGCAGAGTGGTCTACCCGTTTCGCCAACGTATTCGTCCTCGCTCGCTTTACAAGAGATCTGATAGACTGTACCCGAACTCATGCAATCACCGTCTCTACCATTGGGGCAAATTATGCAATTTTGCGTTGCACATAGACGGTCGTATAGGCGGTTACGAACTAGCTGGCACCTTAGATTATTCGGGGGTATTTCGATTATCGTTACCAAATTCTCTAGACTAGCCCTTTTTAAACAGCGTTTTATAGCTGCACTTACTTCATTTGAAATGAAGGGCAGTATAAACGGGACCTTGTTGTCGCTAGAGTTATCGTTGGAGTACCTGTGGTTTCCTCTACACCTATCTGGAGCTACGGTTTTTCTACGCAAGGTTACCTTGGAAATGGGTTCAGATGGTGAGAAACTCGGTCCCAATTCTAATAACGAGCGCGCACCGTCAGAGAAGGTTGTGCCTCCTAGCACGCTCAACCTTGAATTTCTTTGCACATTAACTATCCTATTGTGATCTGTTTGATGTTCCTTAGCGATATTTTTGTGCGCTTTGAAGCTGTGTTACGTGATTTACTCAAAAGGTCATCGAATTTTTTCAGCAAAGTTACTTTAGCATTAGACCTAATAGAGTTGCAAATCAACACTGACTGTTCTCCACTGTTCCACTGTTCTCCTCCAGAGGCGGTCCTCCAAATACTGAGCACAATAGTTTTCTTTCTTCTCGCACTTCTTCCACTTAGCGCACATCTGGTCGTTCCAGAATTCATAAAAAGAAAACGACTACACGAAGTATGCGGACTACCACAGGATGACCACCGAGTACTGGACATCGAATGGCAAGTACTGCGCACCTGTCTACGAAGCAAACAAAACCAGATTAATTTATAATTTTCGTTTAAACAAAAAATAAATGAAAAATCGAATAGGTGTTCTTTCATGCGGACACAGAGGGGTCTACCCGTTTCGCCAATGTATTCGTATATGTATTATATGTGTCACGATCCTCGCACGCGAATCAAGAACACAGGCGCGAAAAACTCTCGAGGCACTCTGGATTAATTCCAGAAATCCGAAAATGAACCGCAGGGAAGAATGCCTCATTATCACGCGTGATATAGGGCAGTATATAAAACTGCTTTTCTGTGCGGTTGGTCTCTGCGTGACATACTTAGTGGAAACCTCATAGAAAGCGGTGAGTGTACAGAGCTATGCTAAATGTGATTGAAATCTTGGTTTAGCGTTTTCTCTGCTTGGTTACGGAGGTGTTTGGCCGAATGGATTGCTGTCAAGTTGACCCTTCCAGGCTCTGAGGAAGGCGAAATCCGCCGAAACGTCAGCTTGTGCGTAAATAAAGAAATAAAATAGCACCTCGTGTTTGCTGAACAAAAGTAGAAAGATATATTCAATCAATGCCGAGGTTAATAGAAAGTCGGACTTGGGAGTAACTATGTTCTGTTCGAAATGACTTCTTGTAAAGATTCGCTGTTGATGCTCAATCTTTTTACGATGCCGCATGAACAAATGACTCTATCGTTAGAGATGACTGAAGGCACATTTCCCCATAAAATGATTTACGATGACCTATGATGTATGAGGTCAGTAACTCCCACTTCCGACCTTCTATTAACTTTCATTGATTGAACGACATTACGCTTCCATGTGAATTCTGTGCAGTTGGTCTTCACACGACAAACTCAGTGGAAGATTCATAGAAAGCGGCTCTGAGGAAAGCGAAATCCGTCGAAACGTCAGCTTGTACGTAAATAAAGAAATAAAATAGTACCTCGTGTTTGCTGAATTGAAGTAGAAAGAATATAAGGTCAGTGTTTTGTCCCCCAAACGGGTGTGATACCAATATCGACACTAGTTTGACGAAGAGCGCAGTTTGATCAGGGTTCGGGATAGTATTAAAGATCGCGTGTTTACTGCAGGTCTCTCTGCGCTACATGCTCTTATTTTCCTCGTAGGTTTTTTGTACACACAACAAAGCTCGTTTGCAGCTTGCTGATACACAGCTAGGAGTTTTATCGATCACTGATCGATTTTGTCTGATCATTAAAGGTAGAATATCTTCCATAGTAATCGATATTACACCACTATTACGGTTCGAATGACTGATGAACAATTTGGGATGATAGTCTTATCATCGTAATTGTAAGATATCTCGCCAAAATGTTCTACTCTATCGATTATTTTTTAGTTTCTTCTTTGTGAATGCTTTGTTTTATATATTTTCTTCTTACATACAGCAGTTGCTCGATTTTTACTTCAGTCCTTACAGCATTTATTAGTTCCTCCACTGTTCGAAACATGACCTCTGCTTTGTCTCATTGCCAGAACATTAATGTTTTTGGGCTATTAAGCACACTTTTGGATTATTACTAATAGTCTATGAACATAAAAGGATAAAGTGATAAAGCTCTCGGCGTTTATCAATCCCTGAGGAATGCGCCATGCACTCGACTTCATTAAGCATCGTTTGGAGGTGATTGAAATCATATCTGATCTTAACAATGACTCGCGGTGGCCTACCGATGTGTCGAGACAGTTACGCTAGTTCTGCTATCCTCCCAGACAAGTGTGGTACCAATTTGTCGACCCCAAAAGGATGGAAGGCCTGGTGAGCCAGGACGTGGGGATCGATCCCATGTGTATTGCGGAGGTCCTCGACCACTGCGCTGTATGCTCTTCTTATTACAGTATTATTAATAGTTATTGAACACAAATTGTTGTTTGAATTGAAGACGTTTACTTATTTGTTCGATAGTCAATCATCACGAAGTCAGACGCCGCGTCCTCTAGTGTTCGTTTCTTTCCATCCGGTTGCTGTATATTTTCATGCACTACATGTGTTCATATTTTATATCAATTCATTATAATAGGTAATTTTGCTCTGAAACTCAGGATTTCTTTGACATTCTTGTGGAATAAATGAACTTATACCTTGCTGGTAGGATTTCATTTCCACGAAAGGTACTTTTGTTTGCCGATGAATAAAATTTTTTGGTCTAAGGCTGGGCGTTAAAAACAGGCCAAATTATCCGGATGGCGTTAAGGCGTTCCCAGTGGTAATGAAATTTTGTTAGGAGTAAGCTTTTATTGCTTGCATTTTTGTTTTCTTCTTTACTTAGCAATAATACTTATAATAAGAAGGGAATGGCCGTTGTAGAGTCGTGAATCTACTGCGATTATTATTTAGTATTTACTCGTTTTTCCACGGAAAGGGAAACCGTGGTTCCATCTGGCCCAGGGTCCAAGTTTTGCGAACATCTCAGCATCGTTGTGGTTGATTTCATTTAGTACTCTGCCGTGAAAATTGTAGTAGGCAGTAGATAAAAAAGTATACATTGTGATTTCGACTGCATCCCCAGCTTAACTGGATTCAATGCCGATCCGAGCTCCCCAGATCAATGCCAATGAAGGGTGAATGCTGATGGCACTAGTAGATAGAAAAATAGCTGAGAGAAACGCAGGACAAGGGCCTCCATGGCGCAGAGTGTAGTGCGCGAAATCCCCGGAAAGAGAAAACGTGGTTCCATCTGGTCCAGGGTCCAGGTTTTGCGAACATCTCGGCATCGTTGTGGTTGATTTCGTTTAATAGTCTGCCGTTAAAATTCTGGTAGGCAGGAAATAAAAAAGTGAACATACTTACTAGTTACTTAGTAGTTTGTCTTTCGGTGTAAATCCGATGTTTTAATAGAATTAGTTTCTCACAAGAAAAACACATTATACACAGCGCTTTTGAAAGGATCTTTTGTACCTTCTTGGAATGCTAAGTTTACATGAGAGTGTTATTCAACTTTTATTCGGGTAATGTTTCGACTTCTTCGTATTCCTTGGAGCCGATGATCTGAGTCGATAGTCCACAGTCGTTCGTCTACTTGATGTGGCATCTTCATCCTCGTATCGAGTCGGATCTTCCTCAGTGGAGCATCTCTCGAATGAGGCATACGCACTCAGCGATGCTCTTTTATACAGGACGCTAGTTGTTGACAATAATGATTGCCCGATGATAACAACGTGTTGTTTTCTGGCCAATCCAATCTGCAGCAGTCGGTATTATGTTAGCTAGCACTTAGCGAACAACAAACAATAATTTTCAAGCAGGCCGTCTTATAACCTCCGTATTTTCCTTTATTTCTTCTTTCGGACCTTTTCTCGCATCCTTTATATTTTTATAGTGTGAAAAGCTTCAGTGCACAAGGGACGAGACCCATTGATTTCACTGCATGAGCGTAACAGAAACATTTGGTTCTTTTAACATTAAATAGGTATATTTCACTTCGTAGTGAACATTACTGATCGAAACAAAAACTACAGGAATCATCGTTAAACCTAGGCTCAGGGAGGGGTAACCCAAATGAATTTACGGTAAAGCGAGGTAAAAAAATTCAAAGGATTCACCAGTTAAACTACAAGTTATGTCACCAGCTCCAGTCCCTCCTATAGCTCGAGTAGGTCCTAGTACGACGCGGTAAGTAACACTACAGAATCTTATTTATTTAATGATATATTTCGAAAGAGGAGCGCGTGTAGCACAGTGGTCACAGGCGCCATGGAATACACATAAAATCGATTCCAGCGACCCAGGCTCACCAAGCCTTCCATCTCCCGGAATCGGCAAATTGGTACTAGAGTTGTCTGGGAGGATAGTAGCACTGGATCGATACATTTGTAGACCAAGGCGAGTTATTATAAAGACTAGGCATGTATTCACTCGCCTCCAACGATGCTTAATGAAGTCGAGTGCATGGCGCATCCCTCAAGGATTGATCAGCAGTGAAGGTCCTATGCTTCTTTATTTCGAAAGAAACTGAAAAAGGAACAAGAGCACATTGAGCCTTATAATAATAACCACCAGAAAAATGTTAATGTTCGAGTGGGCAAATTACCGGAATAGCGTAGGAAAAGAATGCAGTGCAATAAAGGCAATATAGTAGAGACGAGAAAACACACGATGGTCTCTCAATCATGGAAGTCAATGGGATGTACTCATACTGGAAGCAGAAAAGATAACTATCAGCGCGGAAAACTAATAGAAAAATACGAAAGATAGGCGAATACACAGGGAACAGCAGAACTAAGGGGGAAACATCCTAAGCACAAGGAAACGCGGAGTTTTCCTACGCTGGGTCAATGGAGAATCTGAAAAGACACTATTCTACTCTCAAACGGATAAGATCTCAATGATGTGAACCAAATGGTCGCATCAGAACGAAGGGATCCATTAGAACCCACTAATCGTTTCGTACAAGATGCAAGTTTTCGTACTTCTCGCGGAAAAATTCTGAATTTTTGGCGTTAAGAAGACGAATTTGTTTGCCTTTTTTTTGTTAAGGCCTGCGCTTGGAAAACCGAAATAATAACGTTGAGCCTCTATTGCAAATTTATTAGGTTTTCAACTTTTTATTTACTCTCAAATTGTTGGTAATAATGAAAAAGAGGGCGCGCATGATGCAGTGGTCGGAGGCGCCAGCAATATACACGTGGAATCGATCCTCGTGCTTTTGGCCCGCCAAGCCTCCCGTCCATCTGGGGTCGGGAAATTGGCACCACACTTGTCTGGGAGGATAGCAGCACTGGCTCAATACATCGACAGGCCATCGCGAGTGCCAGATATTCATTCAATCACCACCAAACGATGCTTAATGAAGTCGAATGCATGACGCATCCCTCAGAGATTGATCAACGCGGAGAGTTTTTATTTAATGAAAAAAACCAGCATTGAGTGTTTGGTCTTGTCAGATTATTTCCCTACTGTTATCCATGCTTGAATAAATAACTTTCCTTCGATCTAAGCGACTCTATCGATTTATTGTTAAGCATATTTTCAGAATGTGGGAGATCTTTCTTGTTTTCCTTGTGGTTACAGATGCTTTGAAAATTCTTCAAATAGTTCCCGGCTTTACAAACAGTCATGTATTGTTTAACTACCGGATAGCCGAAACACTCAAGTATGCACTTTTTATTTACTGCCTATTCCCACTAATACTCAATTAACTGACAACTGACTCAAGTAGGGCATTTCTCTGTATGAGTATCCTTATTTGAAATGTGTGGAGCAGCGTTTAGAGGTGCACCAAATAACACATCGTTGGCTCGGTCTATGGCTGAGAGCAAACAAGCCCGTCCGACCGTGTAAAATCAGTAGTTTGGTACGAATCGAGTCTGGAAGGTTATGAAACTGATTTAAAAATCAATTCGCTTCAGGAAGTCATTGTTTGGTGCAAATATTACGCCTACAAAAAAATATGAAACTATCCAGTCTTGAAGACCGCGCTGGGTCTTAAACCCTCCACCGCACGTTAGAGTTTATCAGCCAGAAACAGCCATCAACGGCGATTTGTGCTAAACAATTGGGAAACGGATACAGTATGTTCTGATTCGGTTTCAAGGATTTCTGCAAGGATTAAGTAGTCCACTTGAGCCAGCTATTTATTCATTGAAGAGTGAACAATGGAAGATCGGTTTGACGATGACAGCAAACCAGAACCGCTACTTTGTCGAACAGCTATGTGAACGATCCATACGAATAAAGCGTCTGGAAATAAACAAAACGATGACGGCGTTTTTAGGTTTTCCATCAAAAGACATGATTGTGTAGAAATGAAAAGCAATATTAGAGTGCACGTGTAGTAAAATTTCGAGATGCACAAAACCCTGTTTTAAAATGCTTTCCTGCTTTCTTCCCAAGCTCAGCTAATGGATGGATCTAAAGACATGTTCATCTCGTTTAAATCTTGAACCACTCATTTTTCTATTTATTATGAGCAATTTCCCTTAGAAAGTGAGACCAAAGCATAGTTCTTGTGGAATAGAAAACAGTATTGTTAAAAAATGTTACTGCTTTCTACTTTACTGGTAAAAAGGAATCATGATCCCAGCGTTGATCAATCCCTGAGGTATGCGCCATGCACTCAACTTCATTAGTCATCGTTTGGAGGTGATTGAATGCATATTTGGCCTTTGCGGTGACTCAGGGTGGCCTAACGATGTATCGGGCCAGTGCTGTTATCTTCCCAGACAGGTCTGGTAGCAATTTGCCGACCCCAGAGGGACGGAGGGCTTGATGGGCCGTAATCAAAGGGATCAATACCACGTGTGTGTTATAGGGCGCCTCCGACCATTGCACCACACGTGCCCTTCTTTTTATTGGTATCATTATTAATGTTGCCTTGTGCTTTTTTTACTTATATGACTACCTTTCACATATTTTAAGGATTCCACCATTTTTTAAAATCCGATTCATTACTTGGTATCCGTCATCCACGACGAAGGTTTTCGAATTTGCACAAGCGGATGTCTGCAGTTACAGAATGTTGTCTTCTTCATAAACGTCATTGAATGCTGTTCGAGTTTATTCCGCATGAAAATCTGGAGTGTTTCTTCTAGAGCGCTCCTATGTCTTCAGGATAGACACTCGCTAGTTTTCTAGATTAGATGGGGGTTTTTCTAGACAAGTCTGGCAGCAGTTTTCCGATCCTCAAGAGTTGGGAAGCTTTGTTGGCCTGATGTTGGATTGAAGAAGCCATCACGTGTATGTAGCAGGTTATCTTTAACTACTCGCTTGCCGCACAAAGAACTGTTGTATTATAACCATATTAAAGTACAATAATCGATGGTTGACGTAAAAAATCTATTTATGAACACCATAGTTAAGGGTGTCGAAGACGTCATGTGCATATCACGGATTCATCTCCGTGCATTTTCACTGTAACTGTGAAGGACTACGAGTTCTTTAATAGGTGGCGAAACTGTAGCATACAGTTCTGCCAGAAATTTTTGAGAGTCTGACAGAACATAGACGCAGGGCGCTTCTGACCACTTCGTCACACGCTCCAAACGTTGGCGGAAATAAACGCATGTTTTCTGCCCTTAAATTGATAGTAAGGAATTTATTAAATGGTACACCATACTGGCGAAACAACTTTTACGCTTTTTTAAAATATTTTTCATAGAATCAGTGATATTTTCTGGACCGTAGGCTAATTAAACATTTCTTCTCAGATTCCTTGGACATGATGTAGAATTGTGGACACAGATGGAAATGGCTATGCTCAACACGGGAAACAATCGTTTACCAACCGGTGTAAAAGAGCACAGAATTTCCATACATTTCAAGGATAAGCTTAAAACAGAAGGTCTCCAAGTAAGTTATTTACAAATGGAACCTAGAGAAAAAATTTTAAAGAGTCGGAATAAGGTTTTTCCGTGGAACTGCTTTTCTCTCTTTCCAAAATACTTTGATGTTGCACTGTTAAGTGTTTTCACAATACATTGAGCTACACATAACAGAATCACTTAGATGACCCTTCCATATATGTTGTGCTGGTCCAAGCTCATTTTTACATTCATTACATTGCATCAATTCGTCGTTCGTGGAACTCCTTCCTAATCTCACCCAGGATTGGGTTCGGTTACTCCTGGAGGATCGGAAGGTTAAGCTGAACTCTGAATCCATTTGAAACACAATATGGAGCAGAAGACGTCTATTGGTCCTGTCGAGGCCGTCTTTATTCTTTTGAGATTATCCACTCTAATGTTCCTGCTTTTTTACTTTCCATATTTTCTTTTAACTACGTTACCAGCTAGCTGATGTTTATTTATCCTTTTAATATAAAAATTTTTAACTGCATTCAATTCATAAAAAACTCCCCACTATTTTACATGGGTTGCTTATTTTCCCTTTGCAGGTTTTGAGATTCATGCAAACAAACATGAGATATAACTATTATAATGCTGAGATATTTGCAAAACTCCCGACCACAGGTGCTTGCGGTGGGGAACGAACGCGCTATTGTCTTTTCCAGGGAGTAACGCATCCACCACCACGCCATGCTGGTCCCTCGTTTCGCCTTTCTCTCAGCTAATTCTATCGATCTTTTGCCATCAGCAATAAAATGGTTAAGATTGTGATTATAATTATAGCCTCAGATTTACTGGGTTCAATGTCCATTTGGGCTTCCCAGATCAATCTCGTTGATGGGTGTGATTGCTGATCGCAAAAGATCGATAGAACTAACTGAGAGAGAGGCGAAAAGAGGGACCCGCATGGTGTGGTAGTGAACGTGTTACTCACCAGAAAGGACAATAGCGCGTTCGTTCGCCACCGCAAGCACCTGTGGTCCGGAGTTTTGCAAATATCTCAGCATTATAATAGTTTTACGAGCATTATACGACCTTCCCAGGGCTACAAGTGGAATCGACTGGAAGAGCATTCAACGACATTCGTAAAGAAAAGCAAAAATACCTAGGCCTCGTAACCGAACCCGCACGCATAAATTCGAAAATCTTGATGGCCGCGGTGTGAAGAAACGAATTGCGTTCAAAGAGTGCTGGGATCTTGGCAATATACGATTATGAATTTAGTAAAGTTGAGAAGTAAGTACTTGGATAAAGAATAACGAACTCCCATTCTTCACAAAGTTGAGTTTACTGCTGTAGTCAACTTAAGCAGTTTATTACTGTAGCTTCTGGCAAACTCGATACAAAAGGTGATTTTCTCTTGGCAAATTTTTTCCATATTTAGGTATTCCAGTCGTTGATGTTCTCTGCCGGTGATGCATACGACCTATGGTGGACTGGACAAGAATTTAAAGACATGCGAGTAGAGGCTTGCGCCCAGATGTTGGAACAGGATCCAAAAGTGAGGAAGAGTCCATGTCGAAAATCCAACTCCTTGCGGACATCGTAATCGATGAGTTATTGTTTTGCCATTTTGCCATATTTCGCTTTTTTCCCGAGGAAATTCTTACAAAAGAACCAGTCTCCCATTCGGCCTACGACTGTGTTTACAGCTTTAACAATATGAAATTAGGGGTTTGTATAAAAAACTGATAAAATAGGATGTTTTTTATTCAGGAAAAAATTGGGTTTTACCCACTTGCGTCAAAAATGTGATTTTGTTTGGATACGTGCATTCACATCGAACTGAAACCATTAGTATATTTATCTCGCCAACTGCGAGTGGGAGCTGGAGAGTAATGTTCTCAAAGACGAATCTTCTACGTTGGAGATCTCCAATCTCGTAGATTTTCAATGTTGGAGAGCGATCACTTCGTAGCGTTAAAGGTTACATGAATGGAAAAAGTGAACGTTTTGTATGCTAAGGTTGTTTTTGTTGTATTTCAGGTATTTGAAAAATTTCGGGAGATGAACTTTGACCTGGCTATTGCTCATTTTCACGACCTTTGTCCTTTGGCGATTGCGGAGAAAATTGGTATTCATAAGGTAGTTCGGTTTCCTATAAATGACTGCGGTTCCCACCTTTTCCTTTTTTTGAAAATTTAGATTAAAATCCTTTTGAAGGTGGTATGGATAACTCATGGCACATCTATCTATGATTTTGCTGCTGTACAACTTGGCCTGCGAACACTGCCGGCTTCTGTACCTCATCCATTGTCTTCTGGTAAGAATCTTTGTATTGAGAAGCAGGTTAAAGATGCTCCAACCTTTTGTTAATGAAAATAGTAAAGCATGCCATTATTGGGTGTCTCTCCATAAAAACTAGATCTGTCGATTCGGATTCTCGGTTCTGCGCTGCGGTTCCGCTTTGGCCAATTTTTCTATCCCTTCAAGCCCGAAACATCTGCACCGGACTTATCTGGAAGCACAGAAATGTTCACTTGATGCATTAGTAGACCACCGCAAGTCATTAAATAGGCTAAAGATGGAATCAATCCCTCCTGTGTTTGACGAAGTGGAATGGATGGTATTCCTTAGAGAATGATCTACGCCAAGCACTTTTTTTTTTACTATATCTTATATATCTTTTACTAATCTTTAACTATAATCTTTGCTACATCGGACATGTGAATCGCAGCTACCAGTACCCTTCATAAAATACATAAGATAGGACCTCATTCCGAAAACGATTTCGCCCAACTAATCCCGTGCTCTAGGGAGCAGCATTCAACAATATTTAAAAAGAAGAGGACGATCCTTAAGCAGTAAACGAACGCATTTGCTAAAGGTTCGAAGACCTTTGTGGATGGTGGATACGAGGAAATGAATCGAATGAAGGAATTGCTGGAATCTGCACCGTAGATGTGAAAACTGGTCGTGTCAAAAATCCTTCATCTAATGCAATGATTACATATTCCGTTTTCGATATACTTCGTGAGACTCATTCTCCTGTAAGACTACTCAAGCTGAGAAGGAGTCAGACATTTCTATCCGGATTCCAATTCATCCACAAACCTATACAACATGACTAGCAAATCAGCTGACTGTAGACCTTGTTCGTTCAGAACGGTAAAAATGAAGGTGTTTGTAAGTGGAATGGTTTTCCTCTTCCTCGAGGAATTGGTCCCAGTATGCGCTATGATCGATTTTAGAATTTGCTGACGAGATTACAAGTAACAAAAGTGGTAAATTGTTGGACACTGAAAGAATATCAATTCAGGGTGGACTAATATATTCTACATTCTGAATACTGATTGAGCTTGATTACCACTGATTATTGAGCTCTCAAGACCTCACTACAGGCAGTTGTGACACAGTAATTCTGTGATGACAACGATTCCTCTGTTTAACCAAACAATCGGACACAAACAATGTCATAGGTGGAATCATTAAATGGTCTTTTCGACATAAAGATTTGGAACTAATTCCGATCTTAAGTGACTCTGTTAGAGAAACCATGCCATACTCTACACCGCATTTCGATACACAGAGCCTTGTTTAGACACCACAGCGGTATATCGCAGTCATAATTGCACATTACAAGGGATAAAGTCCTCGGCGTGGATCAATCCCTTAAGGATGCGCCATGGGACACTGGCTCCACATGCACTATATGAATTGTGTCAACTCCCAAGCATCGTAGAGTTGATTGAATGTACATTTGCCCTATACGATGATTTAAGGAGCCCTACCGATTTATCGAATGTTTTTTACCCTAATGGACAAGTGTGGTACCAATTTTCCGATGCCGAAGCGATGAGATTTGGTGGACCTTGGATGGAGCTGAACTAATTCTTTGAATGTATTGACTAGCACCAATACTACAATGTTACCAGCTCTCAAGCAGTGTTGCTATTTTGTTGTAAAGTATTTAACTCTTAAACTACACAACATGCTTCATCTCAAATTTTCATTTGAAAGAAATAACTTAAATACAAGAGATGCCGAAGTGCGTTCGATGAATTGAATTTTATCTAAGTATACATATTTAGTAGCTGAGAGAAAGGCGAAAGAAAGGACCCGAATGGTGTGGTAGTGAACGCGTTACTCTCCGGAAATGACAATAACGCGTTCGTTCCCCACCGCAGACACCTGCGGTCCGGAGTTTTGCAAATATCTCAGCAATATTGTAAGTATGTTTACTTAGAGAAAACTGCTGGTTCTCCTCAGAGCGATTCATACAAGAAAAATATGCAAGTTGTAAGTGATCTGTGCAGAAAACACGCAATGGAATAACAAAGACATCGAAAAATTCTGTCCACGATCATCATAATTTCCAGCCGGCTTTTCTCTGTCGTTTATCGATCGTGTGCTTAATTTGCTCTGGCATCTTTCTCTTCTCGACTTCGTCAATTTACCTCAGAATCTTCTACACGACGAAAACGTGTACTATCGAAGTGAGCTTGACCTGCCAAAATTTTCGTGCCGCCAGAGAACTTATTTCTTTTTTCTTCTCTTTACGACTTCTAGATCTTGTCGGTCCCGGTAAACCAGATCTTTGGGACCTTTCACGTAATGTCACGGCTTTATTGATCAATGGTGAGCGTATGCTGGACTTTCCACGACCACTTCTTAGTCATATCACTTTTTCTGGTGAACTTGGCCTGAAGAAAGGTGAAATTTTTCGGCCTAAAAAATTTAGAAAGAGCTATCATTTTACCGATGTTTCAGCAGTTGAAAATGTCGAATTTGATGAACAACTGCAGGCCATTCTTTCTAGGCCATCGAAAGGTCTGATTGTCTTTTCATTAGGTACCGTTTCTAATACAACTAATATGCCACAGCAAATGATTGTAAGTTTTCCATATATTTGCTTCTTCTTTCTTTTCATTTCCTTTTTTTTTCATTTTCTCTTATAGATTTTCTAAGAGTCCATTCCTCTTTACGTTACGACTTCTTTGCATGCTTAAATTTCATTATAACAGTTTAGGATTCATTTGTGAAAGCGTTTAACAGGTTGAGTGATTACACAGTTCTCTGGCGTATGGAGGGGGAGGTTGGTCTGAAAACGAGTCGTTTTATCCTTATTTTAATTATATTCCTAATAATGCTTAAGTTTTGTCGACACTATAGATATATTTAATTCACGTGACGACATCTTTTTTCGTATGTACTGGAGAGATTTTAAAAATGAACCATAGCGCCGTGCGAAAGGGTGTCGCTACTGCATAATAATTAACATATTATTATTGATACTAACCAACCAGGATTACGGTAGCCTCTTCATGAATAAGTCTCTTTTGTGGTCATCTATGGCGTAAAAAACGTTCCGCGTCAACAGATTATTTTTAGGAATGCACTAAGAACCACGGTCCTCGTGAACAAGTTCGCGACGTGACCTCTATAGGTGTCATGTGTAATGGGAGATTGAGGCGGACAATACCCCTATAGAAAGCCCATTTCGTCTCCGATGGTTTATTCTGGCGCAAAAATGAGCGTTTTTCTAGTGCTCAAATGATCGGTGTGAGCCGATAAAGTTCTATTGTGCACTCAGATATATCAAAAGTCTTTTCTTGAACTACTCCATTGACCGGTAATTTGCCTAGGATCTTGTTTGGGTTGCAATCACAATGAAGAATTAACGGACGAGCTGAAAAATATAGAAATAGACACAGCATAAATTGAAAAACACTTCAGATACTGACAGCAATGTATCTACATGAAGGACCAAAGGACCAAAGTAACATGTAGTAAATAATAGCATACTAACTACTCATTTCCACAAAGCGATAGAGCGAAGTCTTTTCTACAATCCTATCGTGTCCTTAATCCCTTAAGTCGTCCGGTTGTCGAAATAGTTTGCTTGTTGCCGAAGATCCAGTAGGTCCTAACGATCCAAAAGCAAAGCGTTTTCGCGAAGAAGTTAGGTATCATATTTGTGACTGAATCCATATTTGGGCTACAACTAGGAGTGAATCGCCAATATATCAACCCAGAGAAGTCCGGCACAAATTTTTCGACTTCGGAGGGACGAATTCGACTGGGTTTGCTTGGAGCTTAGGATCGAACAAGTAACTGCTTACGTATTTCGGGACAGTCCTTACCACGTCTCACTTACGAATTTTTGGATTGAATCAATTCTGTTAGCCTTTTATTTGCTGCCTACTACAATTTCTTATGGTAGGGTACTATGTGAAATGCAGCCACAGTGGTGCTCAGGTATTTGCAAAACTCTGGACCGTAGGTGTCTGCATTGGGGAACGAACGCTGTTACCCTATGGGCTGCCCAGATCAATCTCGTTGATGGATGATGCTCATGGCAGTGATCGATAGAACTAACTGAGAGACAGGTAAAACGAAGGATCCACATGGTGTGATGGTGAAAGCGTTAGCCTCCGGAAAGGGTGTAGCGTGTTCGATCCCCACCGCAGACATCAACTGTCCGAAGTTTTGCAAATATCTCAGCACCATTCTGGTTATAATATAATATAATACCTCATATTTCCTTATATACCTCATATTCATATAAAACCTTACCGTTGAAAAGGAATAAGCAATAAATAAAAATTGACGACAACATTTTCACATTTGGTTATTTCTCTTTCCTTGAATTTAGTCCAAATGTGAAATGAACGCTGTTAAAGCTAAATGCCCTGATTGGTAGCGGAGCGGAATAACATGCTCTAGCGAACTCACTTTTGCTGGATAAAACCACAAACCCTTAAAGCGAATCAGTGGCTACTGAATTTCATAGGACTGCACCGCTCTAGAAAATGGCGTTGTCGAAACGAAACAATTGAAAGTGCTCGTCTTCTTAAAGAAATCATTTGAGTTCCAGACGCTGGCTAAAAGTGTTAATTTTACTAGAATCTCCAGAAATTCGTATTGATCACTTTTCATATTATGTGAAACCTGAATCGGTACCTAAGTACTTGAGTGACCCACATTCGCACAAAAATGTTAAAAATTCCGGCTGTTAGATCTGGAAGATGTTTTCTCGCTGAAATCCCGAGAAATTCATATTCCGGCTTTTCTAGGTTGTTGTTTTTATTAGATTAAACATTTCCACGATTTTTTCACCACAGGCCGTTATAAACCTATAAACCCTTCCAACGGATCCATGTGGTATTTGGACGCATTGCGATTACGTTATTTGTTTCCCAGTGCAGTCCAACACTCTTGGCAAGTAGTTGAACTTTGAATGAATGAGTTAAATGCTTCGGCTTGGATTGTTCCGTTGAGAGGACGAACCCCATTTCCACTTCCAGTTCTCATAGCAGTTCAACATCCGTAAAGAATAATGGCCACGATGAGGCAATAGAGAATCACTAGAAAAAATCAGGTCAGTAAACAAAAGAGGAGTCCCATCTAAAATAAGTTCTTTAAAAAAATTTTGAAACATTGTTAGCTTTTTCGATTTCTGTTTTTGTGTTTCACTTCTTACTCTTAAACCTCATCCCTTCAACTGACTGTGCTGCAGGTAAAGGAAGTGGAATTATCAGCGCATGTTTTCCTATTAAAATGGCTCCCACAAAAAGATATTATGAGTGAGTTTTTTAAGTAAAATACTTCACTTTTTAATAATATTACAAGCCATGGATTATTTAATTGCTTATTTCCCTCTGTTGAATCCAACAATCAATAGTGGCGGAGTCTAATTCTTAAAAACATAGTTTATTTTCTAGGGATATAAAAACCTCATTTTTCGCCTTCCAAAGAAATGGGATAAATTTCAAAATATTGCTGGTGGTCATGTAATCCACTCATCAAAAAATGAAGGTGTACTAACCAATTGAATTAACGTTTCTTTCAGCAATGGAAATAGCGTTCACATATATTAATTTCGATTTGTTAGATTTTACTAGTTTGTTAGATAGTTTTAGAACTACCAAGCATGAAACTGTTGGTGGCACACGGAGGATACAATTCATTCCTTGAAGCAGCACAGGTGCGACTCGAGTTGTTCATTGCCGATTAATTTTTATCTAAATTTGTATAGTTAATACTAGAAAACAGTTACTTGGCGTACTAACGATGCTCCCTTATCGTTGACAGGTGTCCGTTTCAGGAATAGAAGCCACATTTTCACTGGGTTCATGGAGCAGTGTCACTGTGGCAGCTTGTTGTTAGATAGGAGACGGTGTATGAGCAGGCATTATTACGATTGGGGCACGTTTTGTGTGATTGGGTCATCAATTTTCGAATTGGAGCATGTTCATTTACTCTGATTGGGTTAGGGTTGTTCGATTAAGATACATTTCCTTACTGTAGTGAAATTTCAATTAGAAACGAAGAACCTTATTTTTATGTGCCTTTGAAGAGTTTAGTACTAGTTTTTTTTTTCAAAAGCCCATCACATTCCGATGTGTTCTTCTAGAATTATAAATTCCGCCGGACTCGGCAAACTTTTTTTTCAACCCATCTACCAATCATCAGTGAAAAATGTCGCATTTATTTGGAAATCATGAAAATTCAACGATAACAGTTGATCTTCATCCTCAAGAAACAGTTGCCTTCAAACGAGAAAGGAGCAACAATACGAAAAAAGTGATTATTACTCAAGTAGAATTAGTAGTGGTACTGTAAAGTAATTGTAGACTGCCATACTCTGAGAGTATACAATGCCAAACACAACGAAAACATTCACTTAGAAGGTTCACATTTCTTATAATGAAAAAGTTTGAGTTTTATTCAAGGCTGGCGTACCTGTGGTGTTGATGCCGTTGTTTGCCGATCAGAAGATTAACGCAATGAGGGCACAACGATTTGGTATTGCTAGAGTACTGAACAAGTTACGTCTAACACCTGAAAATGTCTACGAAGCAATTAGCGATATATTAGGCGACGATAGGTGTGTTCTTTCTGGCCTGGTTTCTGTTCCTTCCTGTTTCTTTTTTCACAACGTTTTCCTTTTTCTTCTTAATTTCATAGAACCTACATGAAATTTACCGATTATCTATTAAAGACCAAAGGCACAAATGGGCAGATCGACGTTGGCGTTAATAGGTCTCTTAAAAATCTATCATTTGCTATCGATATTATTTGTTGTACCGTTAAAGTGGTCGTTAAATCGAATGCATATCTGTCTGATACAATGATTTTCTAGGACCTAGCAATGGATCAGGTCGGTGTTTTTATCCTCCTAGATCTGCTTGATAGGAATTTTCTCAGCCCGGAGAATGAGAATTTGGAGGTTCGGTTTCCACAGAGCCCAGTTGAACCTGCGTGCAAGGGTGTCTTTTGCAGCGCCTCTAACCACTCCGCTATATGTGCTTTCATAGACACTGTTCATCATAATGGTAGAGCTCTTTGCGGATAATGTCAGCGTAGTTAAAGAGTGCTCAAGACTGATGTAGTACTAACTTACGAGTGGTAATCATCTTTTAGCGGTGCCACCCAAGCTGAGATTGTTTTTGATATTTCCATCTCTAAGCTCAGCTATGACTGAACACGTGATGCGACAACAGACCCTGGCAAGTATTTTGTCGGTAGCCTTCTATCAAAAGCAATAGACATAAACTGTGTTGTGAGAAGTGTGAGGCGATCTTTTTCTTGAGTAAGTAGAGTCCACTGAATGGGAAGCGCGTTGGCTTGAGATGCTATTCAATACACACGTGGTTGTTGGCCCGATACCACGCTGCCTGAGAACCAAAGTGCACCCATATGGAGTCGCCAAATTGTACCGCACTTCTCTGAGAGATCGAAACACTGGCTTGATACCTCGGCAGACCACGTAGATAAGAATTTATTCACCTCTGTAACGGCTCACAGCTCAAGGACGTGAGGGGCGTTCGCGAGAGTGCGCAAGAACAATGAACCGCTTGTGAGGTACCTCAAACTTGGGTAATTAAACCTTCATTAGTATACACATGTTACTTACACAACAACGCAAGGCTTCTGTCCAACAACTGCGAATGAGGTGGTTCAGTGGGTTTGTTACCTAATAAAACACATTAGCAATAGTACACACACCAATGTAACGGCTCACAGCTCAAGGACGTGAGGGGCGTTCGCGAGAGTGCGCAAGAACTATGAACCGCTTGTGAGGTGCCTGTGAGCAATGAACGTATTTAACTTATGTTAACACGGATAACATAATTACACGAAAAACAACGATAGCACTAATGTGTCAGCGATTCAAGGGCTAAGGATTACATATACTATCATTATGACCTAAGCAAATGAATCTACAAGGTAAAATCAAACGGGGTGGAATTAATGATGGAGCTGGCGAGGACGGTCTCGGCGGCGTCATTGGGTCAAATGGCGGGACTACTGGGTGTGTCCCATGGCCGGAACGGGATATGGACGCAGAGGATGCGCGCGGCGTTGCAGCCACGCGATCCCCATCGATCCGTGGACTGTATTAGTTATGCGGATAGAGAATTCTCTATCTGAGTGAGGAATTCTCTATAACCTCTACGATGGTTCATGAAGTCAATGCTTCATAACGCATCCCTAAGGTATTGGTCAACATCGATCGTTTTACTCCATTTTTCTTTTTTATCTTGCTGCCAATATGTTACATTATTTCTTCAGTTACGCAATTCGTGCACGAAAGCTCTCATCGATGCTGAATGACAAGCCGTCTCAACAGCCATACTCAACGCTTAAGTATATCCTGAAATTGGCCACCAGCGACGCCAAGTACTTCAGTTTAAGAGCTGCTCAACAGCTTTCATTTCTTCAATTTTATAACCTGGACATCGCTACTTTTCTAGTAGCCATTGTGGCTTTTTTATCTGTGAAAATCCAATAAGAAGTTCTAAAAAGCTGAAAAATTTCTCGTATTTACCTCTCATGATTTTTATTGAGCTGCATTTTTTATATGTTTAATCTAAACCAAATATAAATTTTTCGAAACAACTACCCATGGATGACAGTACAAATAAGTCTGTTTCTTTTCTTCCACTCCGCTATTACAAATGAAATAGTACGTAACTAGAAAAGTAGAAAAACGAGGAAGTTGGAGGAAGATGTCACCTGAAGATGTGAAGATGAGAAGATGTTTTCTATTAGTTTAAAGTTACATGTGGTTGAGTAGTTTTCGAAAGAAACAATACGTCGATATGAGCGACAAGAGGGTATTGCAATGTCCTTTTTTTTCAGAAACAACAAGCATTTATGAGCGCTGGAAGCGCAACGGTTAGAGATACCGAGCAACACGCGTGCTATACTTATTGGATCAACCCCGTCTAGAATAACGCAATTTCTCCATTCAAACTGTTTCTTCGGAATGCTAATAGAATAGGCTGAAAAAACTTTTTCCGACCTGGCGATTGCCTATGGTGAACACCAGGGAAATGGTCTTACAAGAGTACACTGGGATTCCAGGAAACACCCAGTCGGCGACTATTCAACGATGTTCGAGAAGAGAAAGCTCACAATTGAGAGTTGAAACTACTCGCAAATCCAGAAATACTCGTTGGTGACGAGTATAAGGGAACGAATAAAACAAATGGAGTGCTGGCATCCACACAACTCATGATTCTTGGTGAAGTAATTAAATATGAAAGGTATAAATGTTCTCTGGAAGACGGCAACTGGCAGTATACAGCATTTCGACACATCGGTACACTCGTCTTGGTAAGCCACTGTTGCGTAAAAACGCAATGGCTTAGAATTTATTTTGCCATCTGAGAACCTAGGAGTATTCTATGAAATCCATAGCCTAAATAGAGCTCAAAAATGAAATCTTCTTTGATTGAGTTCGTGGTGAAACTCTTTGATACAACGGCGAAACGTCACTTCCAACATGCTACTTCTGCCATTAATAATAATATTACTACCAGCAACCTTGGCCGACTAACCTCTTCAGGTCGTCGATAGTCATTTTCGCAACCGAAAATTAGCAACAGAAACTTTGTTTAAAGTATTTTATGATGCTTTGCAATGTTTAATAAACTCAACGTTTGTGTGTATTTCTTTCTCTCTACACCTAAGCAGTTGATTACCAAATCCTGAGAGTTCCTCTGCTTTCAGGTGGCGATGATAATTAGCAGTGTTTTGTTAGAATTCGTAAACATCATTGCCGTTCAAGGAACCTTCCTGATAAGTTCCTTCTCAATAACCGTCCAAGTTCGCTCACTCGCCGATAATCACATTGGTTTAAAAAGGCTTTCGATTACTGGGAACTGTATGAGCGATCTATCATATAGTTTACTAGTTATTTGGATGTAAAGTATTTATGTATGAGATTCACACACAGAAACACCTATTTCAACACAAATGTATACACCTGCACTAAGAACTAGTCGAATACACATTTTATAAAGAAGGAACCCATTCTCTAAATTGACGCTTATCGCAGGTGAAAAGAACACGATCGCTTCACACTAAACCATAATTCCACTATCCTTATAAGCATCACAGATAAACGGTGCTGAAACTTTTTATTTTATTTGTATAACGCCATTTTACACATTATCTCTTCCCAGTGATTCTGGCACTCCTTTCATTGCATCACATCCATCACAAACGAAAGTATTCGAAATTGCTTGTGGTTTTGGCTGCTACTTCAGGATTTTTTGAGCTTCTTCATGAATGTCAGGGGCAGATAGAACAGTGGTATTGATGCCCGTCACCACGAGCATGGTGCTATTTCGATTCCGCATCGGGCCAACCAAACGTCTCATCCTTCCGGGGTCGGGTAATTGGTACCGGACTTGCCTGGGAAAAAATCGCCCTCTGAAATCCATTGAGAACGCTCCAGCCCGGCTATCTCAGGAGTCCAAGGAGAATTGCGCAACAAACATTCTACGACATTCAAGATGAAATGAAAATGCTCAAGTAGCAACTGAAGCCACACGTAAAGTTGGAAGATCTTCGTAGATGATGGATGCGACGAAACGAATCGAATGTGAGAAGTGCTGGGATCCGTGCAGTAGAAGTGAAAACAGGTTAAATAAAATAAAAAAATAAAATTACTAATGGCATTGAATGTAGGCCTAGTTAACCATCTAAGATTAACAGTGCTACAGCGTTTTCTGATCTTTATCCGAAACAGTGACCTACCTTCAGAAACTGAAGAAGCTTCTGCTAATCAGGCATGGCACCAATTTATCGACTATGGAGCGGGTGAGCCCTGAGCGACGTGGCGCGGGGTCAAACCAGAAGCTATGAGAGACGCCTTTAACCACAATGCTTCGTGTGTGTTCCCCACTACAGTCTTTTATGGAATAGATTTCGAATATTAATCATTTTATTTACAACAACAGCATCTTATGATAACAAGAACTATGTGCAGAACGAAAACAATTAGTGATGTATAGAAGACGAGTTGTGGACAGTAGAGTGCGGAAGTGGTATCCGAATATTCGACAAAGCTCACGAGGGCGACAATTTTGTAGAAGCCTGAAATGACTATAAAATTTGATAGCATTCATGTGAAAATAAGAGGATAAAGCGTTTGAAGTTTATCAATCTGTGCGATACGGTTCATGATTTCGACTTCATTAACATTAGTTTAAGGTGATTGAATCCATGCCTGGCTTACACAAGGACTTACGATGGTCTACCATTGTATCACGCCACTTCTGCCATTTCTCAGAACAAGTCTAGCACCAGTTTTGCCATCCCGCGGAGAGGGAAGTTTAGTGAGCTGCACGTGGCGCGAGATCGAACCAAAGATCACGTGTGCATTGAAAGGCACAAATAAACACTGGGCTGCATCCACCTCATAATTCATGCAGTATTTATGAATAAAATCAGCAGCTTTTTTTGTTTTTTTAAAATATCTCAGCATCGTTAAAGTTATATTTCGCAAACACCCTGCCGTTAAAAAGAGTAGGCAGTAAATAATAAGTTAAAATTGTGATTACAACTAAAGCCTCAGCTTAACTGGGGTCATTTCCGATTTGGGCTTCTCAGATTAATTCCGCTGACTGGTGATTACTGATGGCAGAGATCGGCAGAACTAGTTGAGAGACAGGCGAAATGAAGGACCCGCATGGTGAGGTGGTGAACGCGTTACTCCCCGGAAAGGACAATAGTGCGTTTGTTCCCCAACGCAGACACCTGCGGTGCAGAGTTTTGCAAATATCTCAGCATCATTAAAATGAAATTACTAGCGTTCATTCCGAAACCTTGTGTTTAACTGCCCATAGCAAACAAAGGCTGTTTTTGGTTAGCTGGCTGATAACACAAATGATGTCGGTTCAACAAACTTCCACGATTCGTTTCTACATTAACCTTTCGTTCGTGATGCTTACAAAGAACACCTTAACCTTTTTCCGCCTTATCATAGTAAAGCCAGGTAGCTGCTTTAATGCAGCGAAGAAAACTCTTGTCGTAAGCACGAACTCAGCATTCACTTAGATGGTGCTCAAAAATGCATGTCGAGAGGTCACAAAACGTTAGGTGGGGGCTCTTATTTACAGAAGATTTCTACTGGCTCCTTTTATTGTAGGTTTATTTACCATAGTATAAGATCGATTGTGATTTTTCCACAATATTTTATTGAGACCCGCTGCATCGCCTAGCCCGTAAGGGTTGCTTCACCTTTCCTGTTCTTTTAACCGACCGTTCGATAACACTTTAATTATTTTTTGCATATAAAAGTTTTTAAACGAAAGCTCACCGAATATTCCTACAACCATAGAGATTAAGGAAATCACCATATATACAAATGCCAATATTAATCCGACAGCAATTTGACGTAAATCCTAAAATTTGTCTAATTTCTTCGAATTTTCTTTTTAATGTCCTAAGAAAAGGATAAAGTTTTCGGCGTTGATCAACCCAGAGGGATGCGTCGTGCATTCTACTTCAATAAGCATCGTTGGAGGTGACTGAATGCATTTCTGGTCTCTACAATGACTCGCGATAGCCTGCCAACGTATCGAGCCATTGCTTCTATCCTCCCAGACAAGTTTGGCACCAATTTGCAGACCTCTAAGGTGAGGAAGACTTGGTGAGCCATAGGTGCGGTGATCGATCCCATGTGCGAATTGCAGGGAGCCCCCGACCACCGCGCCATACGCGCCCTTCTTAATGTCACCGCGAAACAACACCAAATGGAAACAAAGGTGGAACACCTGTGAATTTATGGTGTTGGCTCAAGAAAGAAAACATAAAACGAAAGTTTTTATTTGAAAAGCCAAATTTACCTTCACTCCCTTGAAAACAGCAATCGACGTTTTAATACAGGTGAATAAATACGCTGTAGCTAGAAAAATCTGTAGGATTCCTAAACAACACGGAAAAAATGAAGTATCACGGCTTTCAATCACTTCTGAACTTTCTGCTTCTTAGTTTTCCTAGTTGTGCAGCAGCACTTCAGTTTTTTTCACTGATAAGCCAAGTTGACAAGAAAGGACTTCATTTGCCTAAATTATTTATTCCAAGAGAATAAAGTTATTCATAAGCCTCCTGTTAGCTTGCCAATAAGAAGAAAATAGGTTCTCTCTAGTCATGCCAAGGTTAAAGGGGAGTCGGTTTTTAAAATGCTGTAATGGATACTGCATTTTTCAGAATGTTATGTCAAGAGAATAAAATTGGAATAGAATGGAGTAGACAATAAGTTGAGTTGAGTGATGACTTACCGTAGATGATCATAACTGTGATAAGTTTTCTAGCTTCGATAGCCGTATCCGGTAGCTGAAATACGTAAATGCTTCCGACGATGATCGCTACAAGTCCGATAACCGTCGAAACGATTGACGTTACGGATTGGCGAGGACTCACTGTAAACCTAATACATTTCGTAGTACTTTGATTATGTAAAAATCTTCAGCCTTCTCATACGATTTTTGAAGGATTAAAAGACCTCTAGTGGCCTAACGTAAAGGTTGTTAGCTGTGCTATCTATAGCCCAGCTAGCAATCGAGTAACTTGATGCCTGTTTTTAACCGCTTTTGTTTTGAAGAAATAACCATTCGCAGATTCTTAGGCTATGTAGTAGCATAGGCTTATTCCTAGCTGAGCTTTCCGATTAGGAATATTGAACTTTTTCGCTTGGGTAACTTTATTCAGGGCTAAGACATTGGTGAAGATTACAGTTCGACACTAACGAACACCTATCAGCCAGGTTGAAGCGGTAAACCATTAGCGGTGGATCCCAGTTAGTTTTTATTAGAAGTTTTGTTCTTAGTGACCACTGCTTCTCTTCCTAAGTTTCCAAATACTGGTCGACACAATTTTTCTTCTGCGATCTTTCAGTGGATTACGTGATCATATGGCTAAACGCGTGGGCGCGTGTGGCGCAGTGGTCAAACGTGCCTTGCAACACACACGTGGAATCGATCCCGGCGTCCACGGCCCGCCAAGCCTTTCATCCTCGCGGGGTCGACAAATTAGTACCAGACTTGCTTGGAAGGATAGCAGCTTTGGTTCGATACATCGTGGTAAGCCACCGCGAGTCATTTTAAAGGCCAGATATTCATTCAATCACCTCCGAACGTTGCTTACTGAAGTCGAACACATGGGGCATCCCTCAGGGATGATCAACGTTGAAGGATTTATCCTTTTTTGTGATTAAACATATTTAAATCTTTCTCATGCTTCAGTTTTTGTTTTCACTCCTATTAAAATCGTGATCTCTTCTTCCAGTTTTTTCAATGCTTTTGATTAAAAACGTTGCTCTTTTTCATTCTCTTTTAACATCCTTATCGTATAATTAATCGCTTGTCAAATAGGGAGAATTATAAGTTTTTGAAGAAAACAGTTTCAATGGACAACTCTCGTACGGATTATCCTGCAGGCTACATAATGCGTCTGAAGAAGGTAGATATTTGATATAACAACTGCGAAGTGTGGCGCAGTGGTTAGCTGTGCTTTGTAATGCACACGTGGTTCTTGGTTCGATCTTACCCCCTGAATAACTATGTCCCCTACCCATCCGATATACCACAAAAGTGGCAGAAGCCCTATTCGAAAGCAATATAACGGTGATTTCACTCCATTAGAAACCCACAAGTCAACCTGTAGGCCAAAAATCCTTTCAATCACGCCTACGATGCCTAATGAAGACGGATGCATGAGTCATTCCACAGAGATTGTGTAACGACGAGTGCTTAGTCTTTCGTCCTTCTGCACTGACCTATATTTATGAAGACAAGCGTTTGCTTACATATATGCGTAATATGGGCAATATACTGAAATCCTACGAATGGCCAGGAACTTTGTGGAAATGGCTACTGTCCCCTATCGAATTTAAGTAAGCCACTCGCCAGGATGAACGGTGCCGAAAAATGCATCTAGTTTGCCACTGCGCTACTGGGAAACTAAAGAATGAGTGCTTCCTTGTAAAAAAATAGTAACGCTATAGGGTTTCCTTATATGAAAAGTTTGAAGAACATAATATCCATAATACTAATAGAGCCCACAGGCCATTTAAGAAAATGGACGGGGAAAGTTGCATGAGAGCCTTGCTGGTGCTCGCCCGAGTTCCTCACGAGTTACCGAAGACGCTTTACGCCATTACAAGTGATACAAGCGGTAATAAAAAAAAATTGATGTTACTTGATACTTACTTGATATTTGAACGGCCCGTCCTCACTAACTGTGCCGGCCCTAGCGCAATCTGCATTTCTCGGAAACCTGATGTTCAAGCTATTGTGGTTCCCTGGAATCCTGAGGTCACACTGGCCAAAGTCTTTCCCAGGTCTTCACCACCGCGGGCGGTCACAGCCCTTGTGGATCAAAGAGAGATTTGCCACCGTGCGACTTTGATACCAAGACAGTGGCAAAACCTGGTATTGGTTTATTCTTCTCTGGGCTTCCTGATGGAAACGCCGGACTCGTTTTTAACTTGGGAGACCCTGGTAGGAAGATGAGTCTCCCGGTGTACGTCGCAGTCCGGCAGCCAGGAACACCTCTCAGCCAGAATGAGGAGGTAAACCGTTAGGAGGAAATTGATGTTACCCTGCTGAAAGAATGAATTTAGTTTCAAAAAACTTTTATTAAAAAAACTAGATAGCAAGGAGAGAAAATCGGCTGTAAGTTTATCAAAGATTGGAAAAATAACTCTTTGAGAGAATTTTGAGCGACGTTATTGCCACGCTAAATAGAACACTTACTTGGACACTTGGACGACCCGTCCTCATTGGCTGTGCAGGGCCCAGCATAATTACCTTTCTTCGAAGTTTTTCTGGTTTAGCCATTGTGTTTTCCTGGAGTACCGAGGTCAGCATAGGCAAAATCTGCCCAAGTCTTCACCACCACGCGCAGTCGCCACCCTTGTGGATCTGAGGAAGATTTGCCACCGCACGATTAGTTTCATACAAGGACGGTGGTGGATCTTGGTATTGGTTTACTCTTATCTGGGCATTCTAATGAAAACGGCGGACTTCTTTTCACTATGGGAGATCGTGCCGAGGGAATGAATTCCACTGCTATACATCGCAGCCTGACACCCAGGAACACCTCTCAGCCACGATGAGGCGGTAATACCGTTGGGTAGATTGAGTAGAACATATATTAGTAAATCAAAAGATTATAATCGCAAACAAAATAGCTATGTAATAATAATAATGTTGAAAACGACAATAATAGTATTATTAAAAGGATGAAACTCTCGACGTTGATCGTTGGTTTCTGAGGGATGTGCCAAGAATTCGACTTCATTAAACATCTTTGGAGGTGATTGAATGCATATCTAGCGTTAGTAATGACTCAGGATGGCCTGCTAATGTATCCAGCCAGTGATGTTATCCTCCAAGACAAGTTTGGTGCCAATTTGCCGGCCTCGGAGGAATGGACGGCTTGGTGGGCCTGAGGCGCTGGAGGTCGATCCCTTGTGTACTGCTGGGCGTCCGACCACTGCGCTCCATGCGCTTCTTATTATAGTATTATTAATGGCCATTAAACACAAATTGTTATTTGAATTAAAGTCGCTCACTCATTTGTTCGAGGATCATCACGAAATCCGTCACCATGTCCTCCTGCGTTCGTTTCTTTTCATCCGGTTGCTGTATGTTTCCTTCGTCTCCGAGTTCTGTTACCGTAACCTATAATTGGATGTTTTTTTTTCTTCAAAGTTCGGATCCATCCAGTAGCTTTAGTGAGTTTCTTAAAAAACTGCTTTTGCAAGTGTATGTGGTTGATATTAAAAAAGGATAAAGCTCTCGGTTGATGGAACCTTTAGGGATGCACCGTGCATTCGACTTCATTGAGCATCGTTTGGAGGTGACTGAATGCATATTTGGCTTTTACAGTTACTCACAGTGGCTTACCGATATGTCGAGCAAGTGTTGCTATCCTCCCAGACAGGTCTGGTACCAATTCCCGGAAGGATGGAAGGCTTGGTCGGCCGTGGTTGCGAAGACCGATCCTACGTGTGTGTTGTAGGGCGCCTCTGACCACTGCGCCACACGTGACCTTTTTAGGTATACGCATAGTTTTTAAGGATACAGTATACACGCTGTCAGTATATGATAATAGAAATCGTCCATGTATTTTGTTTTTCCCACATCTTCCTTATTTTCATTTTTATTTCATTTGGTCACTTACTACTATTTGTAATCAATACTAAATGTGAAAAAACGTTAAAAAAGCAGGAATATATTTCTGAATATCTCCGTTCTTTCCCATTCCCTTCACAACATAAACATGATCACAAAACCGGGGTCTTCTGAAGAGATTTTTTCACTACTTCTTTTCCGGGGAGCGCTTTCAGAACTCGTGCAGTACACTCATGCTGCTTGATTCGACCCTGTTCGTGCTGGGTCGCTTATTGCTTCCGAGTAGGGAAACCTGTGCCAGACTTGTCCGGAAACAGCTTCTTCAATCCAAAAACGTTGCCAAATATCTGTCGCGCAAGGCTTGTATATGGTCTAACAGTGCTGTTCATGTTTTTTAGTGATAAAAACTTGACAGGCATGCAAGGACGTTCACAAAGAGAGTAGAATTCTGAAGTGGCAGTAGAACCCACGCAAAAATCTAAAGCCTTTCATGCTTTGCGAATTTGACACAACAAATCGAATGAAAGACGTCTTGAGGCTCTCACAGTGTGTGAAATCGAATCGTATGAATAGAAATTTTAAAAAGCTGCGAAGGGTATGGGTGAATCTGGCCAAATGAATCTGAACAATGATGAGCGCGTTTTTGAATTCAACTTGTCTCGTGAAAAATGCGCAGTCCTTTTTCATCCACTTCTGGCCCTCTATCCACATCCTTGCAGGCGAGCTACGTTGCCTAGCTAGTAACTGGGATAAGATCAGTTATCTTGGATGAATAATTGAAATTATACAAAAATCGTATATTTCTTTAAACGAGGAACATTGGAGAGAACTTACTTTTTCAGTTGTGTGGTCCTCATCTTCTTCGCCACCACATAAAATTTTGTACATTTCGTAATCTGAAATATCGAATCATAGAGTTTATTCATTTATCCTCAATGGTTCACTATTGTTTTCTGGCTCTACGATGATTGGATTGTGGGCGCTAATTTCGACTTTAAAGAAAGTTGAACTCCTATGAACAGACAAGAAACGGCAGAAAGCACAATGGTAACTTTTTATTTACTGCATACTATAATTTTTTCACGGTAGGGTACGATGCGAAATACAACCACAATGATGATGAGATATTTGCAAAACTTCGGAACACAGATCTCTGCGGTGGGGAACGAAAACGCTATTGTCCTTTCCGGGGAGTAACGCATTCACCACCACACCATGCGGTTCCTTCGTTTAACCTGTCTCTTAGCTAGTTCTAGTAAAAAAACAAAATATACCGTTCAATTCATCGCTTATTAAAAAATTGAGCTGCTCGGAAATGATTGTCTCATTTCTATTTCTTGTATATGTTTTAGAAAAAGTCTTTTTTGGAATGCTTTTTCTCTATATATTGAAAAGCTCATTTTATACACTTTAGTCATAATACAGTCTGTGTTTTGGCAAATTTTGAAGAGTTGAACTCCAGACGTTAAGGCAGCGATTCCAACAAATCTATATCCTTGAATTCAAACTGGGAAGTACATAGCCAAGCGACTCGAAACAATGACGCATACGACCAAGGAGTTGTTATCTAACGCAGAGCGCTATGCTGGTTTCAGAGTTTCGTCATGCCCAATTCGACCTTGAAGGTGAGGTGAGTCGTAGACGTGCTCCCGCTACTACCGGCGATGAATTGAAGGATTTCATGGAAGCAAACACAATCATCAAGGATCGAGAAATTGCAAAAAAACATGGGGTAATTATCTCGATTCATTCAGAGTATTTGAAGAAAATTCGAAAGTTGAAGAAGCGCGTGAAATGTATGCTGCAAGAAATAAATAATAATCGGCGAAACGGCCATTATGAGGTGACGTCGGCGCTGCTCCTGCCCACATAGGCGAACCGTTTGTTCACTATATTGTGATATTTGACAAAAAATGGTTACTTTATGACTGCTGACGACGATCAGCTCAGTAGTTGTACAGCGATGAGGATACGCAACATTTCCCAAAGTAGAAATTTTAGCGAAAGAAGGTCATGCCCGATCGCCTAGTGGTATAATCTATCACAGTTTTTTGAATCCAGGTGAAACGACGAGGTTCGCCCAGCAAATGGTTTCCGCCACAAACTTAAACGGCTGCACCCCGCATTGGGAAACAGTAAGGGATCAATTCATCTTCACGATAAGACACTGCGACACGCGTCGTACAACAGACACTGCAAAGGTTTGACGACCTCAGCTACCAAACTCTGTCTCACCCACTATGTTAGCCAGACCTCTGGCCTACCAATTACTACTTCTTCAAATACCTCGACAAATTTGGAAATGTTTCAGAAGGCAAGCCTACGCCGAAACTGCCTGCAACGATTCTCATTGCCAAAAGATTTTTATTTTAATTTTTATTTTTTAGAATTTTAAGCAACAGTAATAAATAGACGGTTTCTTGCTGACGAAAATGCGCAGATATCACTGGTTTTCATTTCATTGGACACATTTTATCCTAAGATGGACTATGGAGAGGTTGGATTGCGGCATAACCCTTCGTAGAACCTAATCAAAGGAGAGAAGACTTATAAAAGGGTGTTTTTCAAGAGTTAACGACAACAAGGGACAAAATCGAAGATGCGAGTCAAGTACGATCCATTTATATAACAACATTGCTTGAATTTTTTCGTGTGCTTAAATGATTGCTATACTCTTATTTACGTTTTGAAAAAAATTATAAATAATATAGTCAACGGTGACTTGCTCATGCGACTCTGACTTCTTCATAACTATTGAACAATTAAAATATATATATATATATACTTTAAAAAAAATTAAAAAAATATAAATATAAGCAGTAAATAAAAGAAAGCATCATTACGATTTCGACTTAAGCTTTAGCTTAACAATGATACATGTTGACTTCTGCTTTCCAGATCATTCTTGTTGATTGACAAATGGTCATAATACCGATAGAATAAAAAACTGGCTCAGAGAAAGGTAAAGCAAGAGTCTCTGTTGGTTTGGAGGATAGCACGTGCGCCATCGGAAATTGTTGTTGTGAGTCTGAAGCCCATCTGAGTGTCTGAGTTTTTTCACATATCTCAACATGTGATGAACAGCTATTTTACTCACTGAATGACTTAGGACTGTAGAAAAACTTCTTTAAGACAGTAGATGAGTCGGCCAAGTTTTTAAATACAAAAAAATCGAAAACTTATTACGGTAAAATAGAAAATCGACACTAGCTTTTCGGATATACGGTAGTTTTAAGTTTGCGTGTTAAACCGTCCTCTTGCTACCAAAGATACGGTTAAGGAAACTTTAAAACTCTAGCAGAGCCGATAAATTTCGCGGCAAAATTGTTTGTAAGTTGGATATAAATTTTTCTCGATCGGTTTTGTTATTTTTAACTTAGCGAATAATTTTTCGGCACTTGTCATGGGGTGGGTAGTGCAGTGGTGGTGATGTCGTTTATGAGGAGCGCAAAACTGGTTCGACCCCATTCTGGACCCATCAAACCTTTCATTCCCGAGGTTAATACGTTAGTAACAGACTTATCTGGACTCGACTCACCTCTTCAAATCTGCGCGGGTGGCTCTGACACAACGTTTTCAGAACCGGGATATGCACAGTAAATGTGAAGATAGGTAAAGTAAAAGAAAGGAAACAGCTTAGTGAATATAGGAAAAAATCAGTGTTATCATGACCAAAACCATTTGTAATAGCTGAACGAAAAACGAAACGGTTAGTCTTAGTGTATTGTTAACCAAAACCAACGAATTTTATCACGATGGAACCATAAGAAATTACGAGGACTTTATTTTCTAATAAAGAACAGCACTTTTTTTCCGGTCTTTTTTCGGGTTTAAATGAGGCAACCTCCCAACGGTTTAGCGTCTTATCGTGGCTAGTAGGTGTTCTGGATGTCGGATTGCGATGTGCAACGCGGGTTCATTTCCTGGCAGGGTTTCCCAAGCTAAGAAGGGGGCCGGCATTTCCATCAGGAAGTCTAACTAAGAGTAAACCAATACCAGGATCCGCCAGCGTCCTGATATCAAACTAGTCCCATGGTGGCAAATCTCCCTCTGATCCACAAGGGGGCGACTGCCTGCGGCGGTGACCGCCTGGGGCAAACTTTGTCCTGGCTGACTTCGAGAGTCCAGGGAACCACAATGGCTTAACCAGCAAATCTCCGAAAAATGGAGACTATGCTGAGGCCCTCACGACCAGTGAAGACTGGCCGTTCAAGTATCAAGTAAGTAAGTAAATAAATGAGTTAAACTCCACTTTCTGAGCAAAAAACATCTAAGGGAAGGGTAGAAAACGGAAATCTGTGTGATCGTAACATCAAATGAATTGGTAACGATAAGCATCTAGTAATATTTACGCAAAAGCGGTGGATTCGTCAGTTATATATGTTTTTCATTTATACACGATCTCTAGCATCCTTGCATTCACATCATCGCATCCATATTCTGCAAAGGTCGTCGAAACTTCGCTTAGAGATTCGATTCCTGCTTGAGGATCTTGCTGTTCCTCATGGATATCGTTGAATACTAGTTGAGTCGACTCTTTCTCTCTGATAGGTAGCCTAGAGCGCTCCCAACTGGACTGCAGAGAGTGAACCGTTTTCAGACCCTTCTGGAAACAAGTTCCTGCATTAGGACGGAATAGGGGCTTGGTGAGCTCAAGGCGGGGTTCAGGCAGTAGCGCACCCGTGATGTACGACATCATTGTCACTGTCTGCTTGCCTCCTTACTCTATAGATGTTCACGAATACATCTCTGCAATTACTAGAAAGCTATCTTCTTCAAAAACCATGACAAAAAAAGTTAGAAAGTGTTCGGCGTTGATCAAATCTCTGCGGATGAGCCATCGGTTCGAAGCCGTTTAATCATAACATAAAGAAATCGTATTTCTGCTGTGCTATAACCTATGCTGAGTCGTCGATTAATTGAGTCATTGTATTTGGCTTGCTTGAAGCAGACAGTCAGCATGGACGAAGATTACGCGAGTGAGAGACGAATGGCCGAAAATAAATATATTTATCAACCTCGTGCAAGCTTATCAAGAAAGAATACATATAGAATATTAGTAACCATCGGCTATCTGTTTATGCCAACAAATTTCATAAGCTCTTCGACACTACCTAGATAGGTGTTACGCATTGAATTCAATGCATACTCGTTGGAAAGTGTAAAATACTTTGGCCTTTCTGTTTTAAGAACATGCACTAGAGATTACAACGAAAATCTTTGAAATACAAAGAAGCTTGTCTTATTTCACTCTTCTCGCCTTACCACGAAAGAAATTCTGATTCTTCTCTGCAGAAAACGTAAACGGTTTTTTCTTCGCCTTTTTTTTCTCGTCGCGGCTAGTACTTCAAACAACTGAGCAGTTGACAAGCGAAATTTGATCGAACACGATGGAACTATTATCTGTCTTGTTGTTACGTGCGTCATGTTTTGAACGAATTTATAAAAGAAAAGGTTCATTTTTCAAATATATCCCTCGAAAATCGACTTCTATAACTTTTTGAAGTCTTCAGTTTCACTCCACTGCGAATCTATCGATAACGCTGTCGATAGTGGCGTTAACTTTCTCGGTGACACTGACCTTTTCTTGACTGATTTGTGCTCGTCAGATCAATCTCGCTGACGGATAATTGCTGATGGCAGCGATGGGTAGAAAACTAGCTCAGAGAAACGCAAAGGGCCTCGGTAGTGCAGTGTGTAATGCGCGAGCCCATGGAAAAGGTAATGGTGGCTCGATCTAGCCTGGGTTCCAAGTTTTGCGAATATCTCAGCTTCGTTGTAGTTGTATTTCACATCACATCATGCCGTAAAAAATTTTAGTAGACAGAAAATAAAAGGGTATACCGACCTTCTCGTTTTTATATCTCATAAATTTCATCTTACGAATA